TTAAAAAATGAGGTCTCTCGCTTATCGGGAAAATTATGAAAAATCAATTTTTCCACTCCTATTACAGAATATGACCGTTCTAATTACTTTCCTAAAAGTATTATAGAATGAATTATTCTATCATCGGATGACGGAATAAACATTGGTGGCGACATCTCTGTGTTTAATATCTGAAAAATGTAAACTGATCCAACCTCACTTTTTCCCAATTAAATTACTTTTCTATGGTATTTTTTGGAAACGTAGAAAAAGTATAGTCTGAAACACGTTTGGAATTGCATGAATATGTCGTATTCCAAACTTGATTACTTTTAAGCAATAGTATTTCTTTCTATTTTCATTGAGAAATTGTTCTGAAAAAAAAAATTACCCTAAATTGTAAGCTTCGATCAAGGAGAATGCTCTCCAAATGCTGTTTTTATGTAGACAATAGTAAAAAATCGATTTATATGACCGGTTAAATTCTCATTTTCTACATTTATCAAAATTGTATGGCCTGAATAACGAATAACGTTCATATTGTTGCCGACCAAATCATAACAATATTTATATTTTTTATAAACGTTATTCGTTTATTTATTTCGGTATTCTGGTCATAAAGTTTCGAAAACATGTAGAAAATGAGAATTATACGGGTCAAATAAATCGATTTTCTACTATGGGGCCGTCCATAAATCTCGTGACGCTGAAGGGGCAGGGTTTTTTAAAAACGTCACGAGACAAAGTAAATCGAATAAAATTGCTTATTTGTTTAATTCTTAAATCGTCACGACCCTTCGGGGGGTCAATTTTGACCATTTTTACCGTCTCGAGATTTATGGCTATATAAAAACCGCATGGGGAGAATCTTCTCCTTGATCAAGCTTCAAGGTAATTTATTTTTCCGCACCATATATATTTGTCAATGACGATGGAAATAAATAATATTGAATAAAGATCATAGAAATTGATTTTTCATGGTTTTCTCCACAGTAGTGGATTTCGGCAGGCTTTCCCGGTTAGGGAGAGAGCTCATTTTTTGGCCAAAACAAGCTTTTCAGGGGGTACCCCGTAGAAAAATCGTTTTTTTTATTTTGAAACACTATTATACAGGGTAAAGAAAAATTGTAAAATATTTCTAGGGCGTATAGTAGAGCCCAAAAGAAGACGAAAAGTCCTTTGGCGTTTTTTGATCTGACTCACCTTTAATCAGTTCTTAATTAAATTAAGCTGCTATTCACAGGCTTGCAGAATTAGTAGAGGTGCGACAAAATTAAAAGAATGATAGAAAACTTAACCTAAAACCAAAACACTATACAATTAAGGTCAATTCACACTACTACCGAACTTCTAGAAAAAGGTATTTTTTTATATTTTTATTTAATTTTCAATTTTAGTATTTAACAATCTACAAAGTGATTATTTCAAACTTTTTTTTTAATTAGGTGCTGAAAATATGTTCAGCACCGAATTTGATCATATTATGAGCTTCCCCCACATTGTTTTTATTGTTGAGGCATTGTTGTATATTAATTAAACACATTGTATTTTGGAATACTGAAATAAAAGTTATAAAAACATTTTTGTTTAAATCCGATAGTTAGTGTGAATTGATATTAATTGTATACTTGTCATTGTCAGTGTTTTGTCATTCTGCTAAAGCACGCCTGTGATTTGATTTTTTATTTAATTAATAACCTATTAAAGGGTAAGTCAGATCGAAAAACGCCAAAGGACCTTTCGTCTCATTTTTGGATCTACTATATGCCCTAGAAATATTTTACCTTTAACATAAATGGTGGTCCTTAAAATAATTTTTCTTGGGACAACTCTCAAAATGGTCCCAAATTATGCACAGATAAATAATCTTACCTATAACCTTTTTTCACCTCCTAAATCGCAATATTGCCTAATATTCATTAATGACATAAGAAAAAAGGCATAACTCGCTAATAAATAGACATGCAACAATATACATATACCATCTTGAAGATCTACGGACCCCCAGAAAAGATTAAAATAAATTTACCTTCGCTATTAAAAAAAATACCCCTGTAATACACATACATATTTTTTTTTAAATGGCAACATTGAGTTCTAATAAATTGATGGATTCATTCTTAATAATCATAACAACAATAATAAAAAGTGTCAAATTTGTTATTTTTACTATAGTTGTCGCGGCGAATGTTTCAAATTGCGTCATAAAATTCTGAACCAAGCACAGACATTACAATTATTGTTGTTTTCTTTTATGTATATAATCCAAGGAACCGCTAGGTTAACCGTATGTCGAGAAATCGATTTTTGACATACGACATTGATGACGCAATTGGAAACATTCGCCGCGACGACTATAAAAGATCTTTTTTTGTTTTACGTCAGACTTGACAGCAGCAAATATAGGGACTCGGGAACTATTAAAATCATAGATTAAATCAATGAAAAAAAACTAAAAAACACACACACACACAGGGTAAATGACTTGCATTTTTTAAGCATTCTCCAAACACAACATACATACTCGTGAGTATTACTTACTAAATAAATACATATCAATATTCAAAAATGTATGACAATCTAATTTTAAATTTTAAGTGTCAATGGTGAGATGTCAACAGATAAAAATCAATTAAACAATTAATTGTTGTGATAATCAATTGTTGCATCATGGTTCCAATTGCAAACGCCAATTGTTAAAGTACAAATCCTAAAACGCATTTATTAATTCCTTTTTAAACCATTGTTTAAACATTCTGTACATTAGACCTAATCTGTATAATAAGACCTTAAACAATATAATCAAGGTAAAAATGTTTACGTTATCATATCTTTTTAAAATTTTATGGGATTCCTGGGGGTCTGTATATCATCCACCTTCAAGGTGTTGGGCTACTTCTGGGATAACCTGTAGAAGACATAGGTACTCGAAAAAGATCAACTTTGGCGATAAGTTAAACAAATATTAGAAATGTTCCCCATCACCAAAACAAAGCACAAGTTTTGGTGTTGGGGAATATTTCTAATATGTGTATAAGACATATTTTTGTAGGAAATTTAACGCTCCACAAAAATGTTTTTTATAATATTTCCGTAAAACCGTCCATTTAAGGGATATCGGAGGTCAAATTTTTAAATGAATGAAAAAAAAAGTATTGCCGTTATCTTTTTTTTCTGATTTTATAAGTCACTTAAAGTGGCTTACTTGTGTATTATCTAAATTATTTGTTTACAGTCTAAAAACAATTTTGAAAAAAAAATTGTCTGATGTCGTTTAACCCTGCTTTATTATAATTATTTCTCTGTGCGTGATTTGGAACTATTTTGAGGGGTGCCCCGGAATTTTTTTTAAGGACCACCTTAATGTACACAGCGCGTCAAAATTAACGCATAATAAGTAAAAAAAAATTAACTCTAAAACGTCTTTACCAATCTTTTTATTTTGGATAAAAATACTTTAACTTATCTCAGTTTACGTGATCAAGGGTTTTTCCGAAAAAATAACCTTAAAGCCTTTTTATTTACTAATAAAAAAACGCTCGAAAAAAACTTTTATAGGGAATTTTTTTTAAGTAAATAAAAAATATGCTGTTAAAGACCGTATTTTTTTTACAAATCAAACGAACAGTATTGAAGATACAGCGCTTCAAGTCGGTAAAAATGACCCCTTTTTGATTATTTTGCTGAAAAGTGGTCATTTTTAACGACTTTGAAGCGCTGTATTTTCGTTATTGTTCGTTTGATTTGTACAACATTTTCAGGGTATACTTACAAAAATACGGTATTTCACAGCATATTTTTTATTTACTTAAAAAAATTCCCTATAAAAATTTTTTTTCGAGCGTTTTTTTATTATTAAATAAAAAAGCTTTAAGGATATTTTTTCGAAAAACCCTTGAACACGTAAACTGAGATATAAGTTAAAGTATTTTTATCCAAAATTTTGGATTGGTAAATGCGTTTTAGAGTTAGTTTTTTTTACTTATTATGCGTTAATTTTGACGCGCAGTGTATTTATATAAAAAATTTTAATTATAAAAAGTTATGATGATTTAAAGTTTTAACTTTTTTACTCAAACTGTTCCTTTTTTTTAACCCGAACGCTGTTGCCAAGTTTTTTTCTTAAATGCTTTTTATTCGAAAGCTCTCCCTATCACGTGGTATTGCATTAGTACGCCATATTCTAATACTCTATATAGGGAACCTAATTTATTTTATTATTTATAATTTAATTTATTTTAATATTTATAATAATTCTGCTAATATTAAATAAAAGAATACATACCTTGAATGCAGTATTTAAAACTTTTTAGGTCAAATAACAGGAAAAATTTACAATTAAACCTTAAGTCATACTATCAAATTGAATTAACTTATTTAATTGACTGTAACAATTTACCGTACTTTAATAATTTAATTTGGAGATTAAAAGTGCATAAGCTCATATTAAATAATTTGTCCTCTTAGAGCCTTTTTAATTTAATTAAAGCCAGAAATTTTTATTTTACGATGCACACAGTGTGTAATAAATTAATACGATAAATCTAGAAATTAAACCGAATTAAATTTAAATGCGTTCGCGATCTATGTGCGAAGAATAATTTAATGAATCGTTACAAGTGTATGTGTAATACGAAAATAGAGAAAACAAAAATACACTAACGCTTTTTTTTTCTTAGACGCTCAAATTAAATTGCAGACACTTTTTTTACAAATAAACCTACAGTACCTAACAAGAATGATCCTCTATTGTAGTTTTTGCCTAATAATAAATAAAAATATTTTATTATTATCTTCTTATAGGTCAATAATCTTAATTTAACAATACTTTTTTATACATCTCACTATTGTTTAATTTTATATTTAATTCTGGCTGCATTTGGCAAAATCCATGCCGAGTGAAATTTGGTTTAAACCTAAAATTTGGACTCCAGACTGGACCCTTAAATTGTAATAAAGCTGAATATTGATACATCTCACTATTGCAATCGTACATTTTTGTTATAAAATATTTTTTTCAGGCATGTATAGACGATAACCTCGACATGGTCGAGTTCCTGGTGGAGCACGGCGCCGACGTGAATCGCGGCGACAACGAGGGATGGACGCCTCTGCACGCGACCGCCAGCTGCGGCTTCCTCTACATCGCCCGCTACCTTATAGACAAGGGGGCGGACGTGGCGGCGGTCAACAATGACGGCGAGCTCGCCATCGACATTGCAGAATGCGAAAAAATGAAGAATTTACTAAATGAAGAGGTCGACCGAAGAGGTAAGAAACAGTTTTCAGGGGGTGATTTTTTGCACGTTATATGACAAAAGATTTGTATGCCATTTCTTGGTCAAAATATAGGCTTTATTTTCCCCAACTAATGATATGTAATAAAAAACCTAAAACCAAACACCCTGTATATTATATACAGTGTATAATAACTAAAGATGGGATATTTAGGGGAAGGTGGGGGAATTTTGCGCGGTGGGTAATTTTACGCATAAACAATTCTTCCAGATATGAAGTAAATAATACATTTTTTGAATGTTGCAAACTTGGAAACATTGCTTTGGGTATACGGGGACTAAAGTGTACCGCAATTAAGCTTGTAGCTTTTAGCTAGTGACCATGGTCACTAGCTAACTGTAATACATGTACTTTGATCTAAGAAATCCATGTCGTTTCCGCTACGAGTTAAGTTTAAATTTCTGTCCAATCGCTTAAATGTTTATAACACAACTTTATATGATCTTTCCTCGTAATCTGGTGTATGATTAAATTGTTCAGGTTAACTTTTGGAAAGTTTTTTAGTATCACAATATTTTTCTTGCAATGGGGGTAATTTTACGCTGAAAAATTGGGGTAATTTTGCGCTGCAAAATTTGGCCAATATGGGAGCTTTGGTATACAGGAGCCTAGATTGTTCAGCATAAACAGTTTCATTTGGGCATACGCGGAGTGTAGCGAAAAAAAACCCCTAAAACTACATATGTGACAAATGTTGCATGTAGACCCTCTTATTTCTAAGAAGAAAAATTTTATTTTTAGTTATTTATTTTTTATTTTGTTTGTTTTGTTTGTTTCATAGAGAAAATAGTTTTGTTTTATTTTTATGTTTTATTATAATAATATTATAGAAATAAACGGTTTATTTAGATACCTACAAATCTTTCTCTATACAGCGCAAATTTTCCCACTATGATGCGCAAAATTACCCTGATAGGTGGGTAATTTTGCGCAAATGCATTATTTAAAAAAATGTAGTTTTTGCATACCAAACATTTTTTTTTATAAATTGCGCATTATATACACATAGTAAACATAGTAGACTATCGCTGGTATTAATTGCAAAATTTCACATTTAAACTTAACAAAGATACTAGAGATTTTGCTTAGATGCGCAGAATTCCCCCACCTTCCCCTAGGTACTAAAAACTTAAAAATAGGTAACTAAAAAGGTACTAAAAAAAAGCATTTTAGGCTCGGGGTTAAAAAAACAGCATTTTAGGTAAAAAAAGAACATTAAAAGTTTTATAAAATAAGTAAAATATTTTTTTTATAAACTGACCAATAGTTAATTAAAGCTATAAGGAACTGAAAATATTACAGGGAATACCTGATATTTACCAAATTTACTACTAGAGTAACAAACGATAAAGTAACATAAAATAAAACTTTGTATATAACTTAAGGTAGTTGTCGTGCTGTAAGCATACCATCAGAAAATTTCACATGACAATACAATTATCCTTAAAATTTGAAGTCGATTGACCGTCTATAACCCGAGATAAATTCAATTCAAAATTGGATAATTAAGATTGATTGTATACGCTTTCTGTAGTTTTTTTTTTTTTTTAAGTTTTATTGGCTTTTAGGCTTTTTCAGCCTATTTAGCCAGCACATTATATGTATTTTTGTCTTAATAAACAATCACAACACCCAGGGCTGTGACCGGGAATCGAACCCGGTACCGTTAGACGCAGATTGCACAGCTTTGTAGCCTAACCCACTGCGCCATCCTCGGACCCCGCTTTCTGTAGTTCTGTACCAGTTTCTTAGTTATAAAAAACTAACTGTCAGAAGCTTTCAAAAAACAGTCTTTTAATGTATTTTTGCTGAGTTTAAAAAAAAATTAAAATTTTTGACCGTCCAATTGTTTATAAATAACCGTTTAGAGTTAAACAATTTGTAAAAAGTATACATCACTAGTGTCAGATAAAAACAACTTGGCAACGCTGTACGCGAGTATAGATATTATTTCCGCAGTAAATTCAAACAGACTAATTCAGTCTCCAATATATCTATTGGCGTTGCCGGATTAAATATTTGAAAGTATTACGTAAAGGTAACGTCTCCAGGGTAAAGTCTTGCGAAAAAATTATGAATCACTTAGCTACAAGCTCGTATACTTTTACGGTGCGTATAATCTAAAATTTTTTGAAAATATTGTACCACGACAACTACCTTAAAGCAAGAAGGAACTAAAAAATATGGAATACCTAATATTTACCCACTATGCATGTTACATGTAACTTTACTACTTGAGTAACAAATAAGAATCTTTTCTATATTTTGAGACGTAAGATTATGCCTTTTGTCACTTAATAAACTGACAAATTAAAAAATATGTAACAAAAGTATAAAAAGGTAGTTTAAAGCAAAAACCTCCAAAAAAGGTAAAAAAGGTGAAAACAAGTTAAAAAAAATAGGTAACAAAAGTATAAAAAAGGTAGTTTAAAGCAAAAACCTCCAAAAAAGGTAAAAAAGGTGAAAACAAGTTAGGTTCATATAAAAGAAAATCTTTTAAAACACATTTTGGCATTATTGGTTTTCAAATAGTTACATCGGTTAAAAAAGGTAAAATAACCAAAATCCCATCCCTAATAATAACTATTATAAATAAAATTTTAAACATCAAGAACAACTTAAGTTATTAAGTTGTAAACAAGTTTTAAATTAATTAAAATTTGACTAACTATTTTGATTATTATTATCACTAATTATTATTATTATAAAAAATAATTTACAAAATGGTTTTAAAAAATTATTATTTACATTTATGTTATAATAGTTACAATTATGTAAATACAGTTTTAAAAATATTTTTTTAAATAGTAAAACTGGGTTTGTATTTTTAAACTTCTACGTTTATGTGTAAATATGATTTCATTTATTTATTCAGAATTGTTTTTATCAGTGTTTATAGTATAAGTTGTGTGATGTATCATCGCGTCTGTAACATGCCTATCACTGAGAGCTGCTGAAAAAGTGAGTCAGTCTCTTTTTGAGTAATAATCAAACATAAACAAACCAGAGGAATAGTAAACAAGTAAGTCTGTTCTCCTAAGAGATATTCAATCTCTTCTAATGTATACAGGTTGTTAATAAAAATAGAGTAAAATAAGATCAAGTTCTGGTTAAAAAAGTAAAAAGCACCTTTAAATACGGTTAATATACTTCGGACTTATTCTTAACACACATTTTTATTAGATAATTTATTTTTTCTATTTGTATACCATAATGTTTTCTGAATGGCAACAGTACGTTAGGCAAATAAAAAAATGCTCTTTAAATTTTGACCAATAGAATATAATATAATATAATATATTATAGTAACTCAAGAACTATACTATACTGTACTATAATAAGATCCATTTTAATAAAAGAAGTTGCATTATAATACCGATTTTTAATCAATAGAAATGCAATACACTGATTTATTAACCAATATTCTATCAATATCAACTATTGCCTTGGACATCTGACAGATCTATAGATATAGAAATATATTTATTGTTTATGACAAGTAATTACTTAAGGTAGTATCTCCATTTTTATAGTTTCCATTAAATGTCTTTAAAATTTAATATATGATTTTGTATGGCATCATACACATACACATTTACAAATAATTTCTTATTTTTTTACAGCACAGATTCCAAGAAAATAATTTTTAAAGTTTCATATTTCAATATAATAATGAACTTGTTCAGACACCTACTATTCTGCCGTGCTTAATGAAAACGCCGTAACCAACAATTTTGCGATTTTTGATTTACGGCATTTTCTACTAGAACAATTCATCCTGCGTCTATCCCCGGTACTAAAAAAACCGTATAGATATAGATACGGTTTTTTGAGTACCGGGGTTAGACGCAGGATGAATTGGTCTAGTAGAAAATGCCGTAAACCAAAAATCGCAAAATTGTTGGTTACGGCGTTTTCATTAAGCACGGCAGTATTAGCTTCAAGGGTTTTATTTAAACTTTATTATTGTCAACACTCTTTAATAAAGAAATTGATTATCGCCTAAGCTGTAAAAATAATTTAGACCAATCGGATTTATTTTTTACTCCCTAGGCTGTAAACAACCTGTTAGGTCCAATACAAAAATTCGATAACTCTCAGATCTACCTAACCTAATAATTATTATTTTAATAGTATGTTTTGTGTGTCGTTTAGCAAATAAAATTGTTCCTTGAAGATAAAATGTTGTATGCCATTTGGCTGAAAAGCGGCTTTGTGCTTCAATCAATTGTAGGCCTCATCTACACTTCTCAGCCTAAGGACATAAATTACTATTATTTCAAAATTTTCATTTATATAACACAATAAATTATTATACAAGTCAAATACAAGTTATTCTTTGCCAATGGTTATCAATAACAATTTTAAAATTTTGGAATGTCGGAATGAGCTCGCTGCCACATAAGAAACGTTATGATTTGACCCATATACATTTAAATAAATTGAATAATTTTAATTAAAGGTATTGACTGCGATGCTGCGCGTAGCGAAGAAGAAAGGCTGATGTTGAGAGACGCCAAAGAATGGTTGGCTACGAAAAGTTCTCTGGTGAACTCGCAACACCCCAAACATGGCGCCACTGCTCTGCACGTTGCGTCCGCAAAGGGCTACACAGGCGTTATGAAGTATGAAGTGAGTCTTACTTGAATATTTTTAATTATTATGCCATGTTTTTTTAGAATTCTCTTGCAATGCGACGCCGACGTAGACGCTCAAGACGTAGACGGATGGACTCCCATGCACGCCGCCGCTCATTGGGGGCAGTCAGAGGCGGCGCAACTGCTAGCAGAAGGTTTAGCCGATATGGAAGCAAAAAATTATGTTGTAAGTATTTTACAGAAAATTAAAATTTTATTGGTTTTCACATTTATACAGTGTGTCCAAGGATGGACTTAACTATACTTGTAAAAATATTTATTTTAAATTTTTAGAGGAAAAGTCATTTTTCATAATTTCTATTGCTTGTTATATAAATACGATTCGCGTTGAGAAACACCCATTTTGTTGTAAAGGGTGAGCAAAAATACAGATATTCAAAATTAAAAATTTTTAAATAATTTTTTTGAAGCGCTAATATAATATAAATAGCTGGTAAGGAGAAATCAAAAAGTCAAATGAAGTTTTTTCATATGAGTTTTTGATACTAAGGGGTATTTCCATTGTAACGGGTGCGACACTAAAACTGCGTTTTTTCATGATAATAAAGTGTTTGTTTATATATATCAAGATATGATAATATAATAATTAGGTATTTAACTCAAAAACTGTCAATAAAAACTTGTATAGAAAACCTTTTATAACGTCATGAATAGCGTAACGGGCGCGACCTTAAAAAATCCACAAATGCGACCAAGTTGGCTTTTAAAGTTGATGCTGTAAAATTTTTGATGAAAGAATATAGTAATTTTTTTTTTATAATTGTCAAAATGTCAGAAATATTAATCAAAATTTGTATTGTAAAAATATAAACTGAAGATATTTGAAAGTAAAGTTTTTAGAATGGATGGGTGTAAATGGTTATTGAAAAATGATTATATAATGAAATCGAAAAAGGGAAAAAATTAATACAAATTAATATAGACTAAGCGGTACCAATTCTTAAGAACTGTTTTGCTAGCTATAACATAGTGTAAAAATAAATTAATAAAGAAAATAAATAAAAAAATTATTTTTGTGTGTAAAACTTGAATAGTAACCTTAAACAAGCACGTATTTCAAATGCACAAATATCGTATACTTTATTTTCTAAAATTTTCTGAAAATGTAACGGGTGCGACATTTGAACATTTTATCGAGTATTGAAACTCTTCCGTGTTTATTCTTAATGTTAGCTTTTTAGCATCACAATGTACGAATATTTTAAGGTTATAAATTACGTCGCAATTAAACTATTTGACTTTGGATATAGTTTTTATTTTGTTAAATAACACATCTGATTTTTTGTAAAGGTGGGGTAAGGTTTCGTGGATATACCCTAAGATATTTGATATTGAAAATTTAAGATATTAGTTTTCAAATTTTAACAAATAATTGTATACATTGTAGACATGTCAGTTGAAAGCAACAACCTTGAGATAGCAGTCAATTTCTACAAAATAATAAAACCACTCAAGTTAGGACCTGAATTGTTTTTATTTTTAACAACAAATATCTTAGTAACAACAACTCACATGAAAAAACTTTATTTGGCTTTTTGGTTTCTCTTTACAAGCTCTTCATATTAGACCTTAAAAAAATATATTTAACAATTTTTAATTTTGCAAAATCTACAATTGTACTTTTTTGCGCACCCTGTATAACAAAATAGTAGTTTCTCATCGTGAATGGTATTTACATAACAAGCAGAAGAAATTATGAGGAGTGACTTTTCTTCAAAAAATTGAAAATAAATATTTTATATGGACAATTCATTTATATATTTTTAATCGCATTGTATAATTTTTTTTCTTAAATTTATTTTATTGCTTTTTCAATAATTTAACTAAATTATTTAAAAAAATTGGCCACTTTTTATGCCCAAAGTATTAAATGCAAATTTCTACTAGTACTCTCTTTTTAGGGTCAAACGCCATTCGACGTGTCCGACACAGAAATGTTTAGGCATTTGGAACAGTTAAGGGAAAAACAAAACAGAGAGGATATAAATCGTCGACAGGCGAAAAAACGTGCCGAAAAGTTGGACCGTACGTCCGAGGCCGAAACGCCGAGCAAGGTTAAGAAAATCGAGGTTGAAATAACCGCGCCAGAAGTGCCTCCCGTTGACAATAAAATCGACGAAAACATCGGTAAGTCAACTCAAACTATACTATTTTCATGATCAGCGACAATTTTTTGATATTATACATTAGATTATCGATTAAAAGTAAATTGTTAAAATATGTTTTCTGCTGCCAAAAAAAGAAATGGAGGTGACTAGCGAAAGCGAATCGGAAACCGAAAGCAGTTCGGATACAGAGTCGAGCAGTAGCGAGGACGGTAAATTATTTTCAAATCACTGTGTAAACTCGTTAATCACTATAACACGAACGGCACCTCCCATTAATCTTATGTTTCTCAAAAATATATCTGAACCCAAGACTTTAAATTGTAAAGGGTGTTTTTTGGAGGTATAGAACTTTATATTATATATTTTTTTCATTATAATTTTATGACATTTGTATTTAAATGTGACTTGGGTGCCTGGGTGGAATTGTCAATAATACGTCAAATATCGGCTTCCAATAGTGGTCCATTATCAGGTACATCACATACTCACATAAAAACATCTATAGGTGTGATACTTGATGTAAAAAAACGTTGTTTTTTTAATTTGAAAAAAAGAAAAAAGTTAAACTAAATAATTAAAAAAGCGTTTGTGTTTTTGTTTTTTAAGAAAAAAATACACAACAAAATTTATGACAAGACAAGTGTCCCCATTCTAGTCTTAAAAACAACATAGTAGCATACAAACTCCAACGTTGGACCAAAATACTTCCAGACAAAAGAAAAATGAGAAATTTCTATTAAAAATGGTCGTCCAACAGTTTAGCTGTACAGTTTTAGTTTTTAATACTTTTAACTTTCGGAAAATACGGGATTGTGTGCCTAGGTTCCCAGCAAAACAATGTTTTCTTCCACGAGATCAGCGTTTTCTGTTGTCATCTGCCGCAACTATTTACGGGGAATACCCTTTTCTTACGAATTGGTATAATAAGTAACGGATCACTTTAATATTGATAGGTTAACAGTCATACTGCGTGCTATAATATAGAATATAAAATCTCCTCGAGAATCTCCATTAAGGAAAACAATGTTACTGAAAAAAAAACCTCCTTGTTTTTTCTGAGATATCCGCGCTCAAAATTCGCCAATTAAAAAAATGCCTTACTTTTTTGCCTTATTTAACTATCTCAATGTTCTTTCTAGGAAAATGTTATAAGAAAGAGAGTTGTAGCACATAATTTCCTTAAAAATTAGCAAATTTTGTTAGCTTTAATTTTGTAAAGAAAGGTCTTATCGGTAGGACCTATAGTTTCCAAGTTATAAGCGCCAATCCGAAAAATTAGATCTTATAAGTGCCCCCCTGTTCCTGCTCACCTCCTAGAAGTGGAAACTGTTGGTAGTCCAAACAAAGTCTCAAAGTGAAAAATTGTGATCCTTCCACTTCCCTCAACAACCTTTAGTTGACTGGACAATTTGGTTTATTTCATTTTTAAGTTCTGTACTTCTAAAACCTCTAAAAAACACTCTTACTTAAAAGCTAAAATTGTGTTGTTGTTATGAGTCGCCAGATAGAGTCAAAGTATAAAATTTATAGTAACTGTAAAATAATAATTTGTTTTTGTACATATTTTTTGGGTACATATATCCATTATTCATTCATTAAGGAATAAAACTATATTTTTGAGCACACAAATTATTACATCTCTACAATATTATTAAAAAGTAAACATTAATGATGATTGCATGGAAACAATCACTAACTGGACTTATCAAAATTAATAATTATGAATAATTACATTTAATAATACCAAACTTTTCCCATAAAAACTATTACTTACAAATTACTGTATTTAAATAACAATCTAATCAATGTTGGTTTTAAATAAAAAATATATATCTATTTTTGTCCTATTTTTTTGTATAAAGCAATATTTGATTATATCATTACCACTATTTGAACATTGAATATGTAAATTCAATTTAAATAAATATATTTAATATTTATGTATAATTTATATTTTGTATTTTTGAAAGAAAGAATTAACAAAATATTTAGGAACTGATTTGCATAATTTTCCAATCTTAAAAAATTGTTAATAATTTTGTAGTGTATTTCAATCACTGGGTATTTTTTGTATTTGGTTAAAATTATAAAGAAACATGTGCAATTTTGCAAATTTTTTATGATTTTTTAGTTGCATTAATGTAACAAAAGTATTTAAAATTTGATTCAAAACTACTTGTTTGAATTTATAAGTACTCATTTTGTTGTGCACCTAAAAAACTACTAAAGGCTAGTTTTAGTTTTTAAATGTCTAAATGTAATATTTTATTGAAGTAATCGATGAGAACGGGAAAATATTAATTATAATAATTAGCAATTATTAATTACACATGTATGCAAGAAGTAGTAACTAACCAGTTATGAATTAATTGTTATTTTGATGATATAGCGCGCAAATGTTGGTAATAAATGAGTCATATATTCAAGTAAATGTGGATAGAAAAATGTAAATTTCAAACCTTATATCATCAAATGTATTTTTTATTTAAACTTAAAAGACTAAAGCATTTGCATTAACAATTGTGCGCTGTATCATATATGTATATGTTTTTATTAAAATCTTGTACGTTTATGTTAAAACAAAATTTGGGATTTATTTTCTGATGTTTGTTTTTTAAACAATTTCAGAAAAGAAAAACAGGGCCAACACCATGACAATGACTGATACGCACAACGAAACCGAGACAATAACTTCCAGGCTGCCACCCACAGGACAAAAAACTCCTGCTTCCGCAGTCGAAAACAACGTTGAAGATGTTCCTGCTTGGAGGAAAACTGCCAATAAAAACTCCAAAGCAGAAGGCAACAAAAAGAATTTTAGTAAGACAATGAAAACTGTTTATTTTTTTAAACTAATGATTTTATTTAGATGACTCTAATAACATGGAAGAAGTTACTCTAAGAAGAAGCAACAGTTTGAACAGTGACACGTAAGTATACGAACTTTTTCAAAAGCTTAAGAAATTACTTCTTCGCAAAATGAAGCATATTTTTAATAATTTTGCTTATATTAATAATTATTATTAACATCTTAAACAACTAATAGTTTATTAATTCATTCTATTTTTAGCTTTGATTTATTTAGATTCATCTTGCCAAGGGGTTTTTATTACTTTCGAGAATCCATTTTTATTTTATTTCGTTTGTACTACTTGTAGATTGGGTAGATAGAAATGTTTTTATGTTTGTATCGTGGTTTTTACTTTAAAGAAATGGGAAGAAGCCCTAACGCCATAAGTCAGATGTTAAAGAAAATTAATAATTTTGCTTAAAAAGTTTTTTAAATTTAAAAACAATATGCTTATAAAATATACAGGGAATACAAAAACTTAAAAACGTTTTAAATGATAACTAATACTATAGGGAGTGATTTTATAAGAAAAGTTAAGAAGGAAAATTTGTAAAAAAAAGTTTTAGTTTGCCTTATTTAGTTTGACTAAAATATAACTCAAGTTTTCTTCCAATTCATGATTATGATTTAAGCAAAAGTTACCATTATTGTATTAACATCATGTTACCCTGAATATCTCCTACATATGATGTTTATGTAAGCATTTCTCCTTAAATCTATCTCCTCTATTATTAGCATATTTAGAATCACCTACCATATCTTATCGTAAGATATCTAAGGTCTTACTGTTTTCTGTCATTAGAGCATTTCTTGGTCTCAGTGACAATTATTATTTTGGTATTTTTAACGGGAATGCAATAATTTTATCACAAATTTTATATTAATTTAAAATCTTTATTCAAGTAGTATGAACTGACGGCAATTCTAACAAAAATTATCGCACATGCGCGCTCTCACACCAAGCTTGTATTGTTTAGGTTCTACACAAAATACAAGGACCTGCATGAACGCATTCGGGCATATAAAAACTATGACGTTATCCCTTATTCCACCAGACCCCAATCCGATACTATCCTTTCCATACAACCCAGAAAGGGCTACAGGTATGCATGTAACAACGCTATTTTTATTTTTTTATTATTTAACAAGTTGAGGGGTATATAAACATAGGTGACAAAAGGGTTATTACTTTTAATTTGGGATTGTCATCGTTATTTATATACCCTAGTTTGAGAGATACCATAAGATGATATTTTTATAAAACTTTGTGGATAGAATATACAGTGTGTCCGTAAAGTCCCGCAAAATGAGATTATTTTGAAAACGGTAATTTAAAAAAAAACGCTGAAACAGGTCAACTTTGTTATTTTTCTAGCAATATTTTAGCCTATGTAGTTGTTCCAAAATATGCCCCAATCGAAGTAAGGTTTTTTTTAAATCACCACCCTTTATTTTTGTTGCACTTTTGTTGCTACTGTTGTCCTGAGTACATTGATATGCTACATGTGGAGGGTTACGTAAGAAATTTTTTGAGAAAAGTAGGTTTTTGCCGCTGATTGAAATTTTGGTATTTTGACGAACTTAAGCCTGAATTATAGATTGCCTTCCTTCCTTCCTCCCGTAGAAGATGAACATTACGTAATTGTCACCATTAACATTTCCCGTGTAGGAATTTTTAATACTTTGTGATAATATTTTGCAATTATAGTAATAAAAAAATCAAAGAATAAAATATTTTCTTAACAAAATCATATTTTGAAGTTATTTTAATATTTTAAAGTATCAATAATTGTTAAGTTTAATTAAAATTAATAACAATGTTAATGGTGACAATTACGTCAAAAATGTTTATTTAAATCGAAGTGCCAGTTAAAGATTCCCGTACCGTAAGGACGGCATTCCTTCCTCCCGTAGAAATTTTTAAGTTTTATCTTTCACCGTAAAGGTCTTTGACATGACCAATCACAGTGCTTGTTATGGACATGCGCTGTAGGGTGAACAGCGTAGGCACAAAATATTTAAAATACATGATTGTTTAGTATTATTTAAGATAGGTGTTCAGTTTATTAAATAATTTGTGTCTCTAAATAGGATATTTAGATATTGTTTATGATCAATGTCTTTAATTTTTAGAAACGTTGCTTTGTAAAACCCCGTAGTTTCCCGGTCTTCGTAAAGTGGGCGAGTCTTCCAACGTCTTGTTCGATGTTTTTTTTCATTATACCGTACTATGGAGAAAGGCAGTAACTACAAAAAAATTCCAAATGCGTTTTCTTGTGCTATGATAAAGCTATGGACATTTTGTATCTTAATTCAACAAAGAAATGCAGTAAACTATCTTATAAGTTAAATAAATCAGTTAAATACCTACTGCTTTTTATAAAAATGTAGTTTATGCTAATTTCCCACAAATTTATGTTTTGCAGTTACTGCCTTTCTCCATAGTTGGGCAGTATACAACAAGCTGCCTGGGCAATTTAAATTGTGATCACTGCACTAATATATAAATGTTTATCTTTCATATATACAGGCAATGGGTATAACGCAAAATATAAACAAAAATAAATGTCAACCATTTTAGGTGTCATCGCGCATGGTTACGGAATTTTACACGGAAATCTATAAATTGACTTTTTACAAGACGCACAAATCGTATGGGCACGACTACGGGAGGAAGGAAGGAAGGCAATCTTTAATTTAGGCTTTATTCGCTGTTACGGGGCTCCACCACACAATGAATTGCTAGTAAGGGATTATTTAAATCAGGTCTTCCCCAATCGCTGGATAGGTCGTAGAGGTCAAATCGTGTGGCCAGCGCGATCGCCCGATTTAACCCCTTTAGACTTCTTTTTATGGGAACATCTTAAAAACCGCGTCTATGTAAACAGGCTTCAAAATTTGGACGACCTAAGACACCGCATTCAAGCCGAGATCCAGATGATCACTCCAGCGGTACTGGCAAACGTACAACGCTCGTTTGTGTACCGGCTGGCCCACTTTCAAATAGTTTACGGTTGACACTTTGAGCAACTGCTCTGATTGGCTTCCAAAAAACATTAAGGCATAGATTGTGTTTAAGTTTGACTAAATACCAAAATATCATTCGGCGGCAAAAACCTGCTTTTCTAAAAAATCTCCAGAGGTGGCACATCAATGAAATCAGGACAACGGTAGCTATCCAAAAATGCAACAAAAATAAAGGGTTGTAATTTAAAAAAACTGACTTTGATTGTGGCGCCGCCACGCGGCAGATTTTGGAACAACTACATAGGCTAAAATAACAAAGTTGACGTGTCTCGGCGTACATTTTTACTTGGTTCATTCTTGAGAAAGTACTAAACTTTCCATAACATTTATTTTATTTCTCTACATGAATTATTAATATTAAATATTCTAAATTACACAAAATTAAAAATTTCATATGGGATCTCTTATTCTTAATAAGTTATTTGCAAATTTTAAAGCATTTTAAACAATTTTATTTTTAGTTAAACAAATTTGCATATAATTTAAAATTATTAGAACATTAACACTAAAACCAAGGGCCTTATTTAACTCATTTGGAAAGTAGCTACTAATTAAAATTATTTAATATTTATATTTTAATACCTTTTCATATTAGATTATCATAGAATCATATCTATTAAAATTAAAATATTTCTTGCTTTTCATAACATTATCATATAACTAACAATTATGTTTATTTGTATTAATTTACTTTGCTTATAAATGAGTTAGGTAAAACATCCTAAATGCACAGTGACCCATTTTAATTTTATAATAATTATAATTTTTATAATGTTCATAAAGTCTTTTTAATAAACGTATTTAAAATGGGTTTTATATATTAAGTCTTAATAATTAAGATAAAGTATTTTTTTAAAAGAATACAAATTACAATAAGCATGTTATTTTAATTTGTAGTTAATTTTATTTAATGTTTCTTTTATAAGAAAATTTGGAAATAAAAAACAAGATATTCTCAGGCAGGGTTTATCTACTTAGTTTTTTATAACTGATTACACTGGTTTACAAATTAATAAAAAAAACTATGGTGCCAATGACCGCAGCAGTCGACGCACCTTAATTTAAAAAAATAAAAAAATTTTTCCAATGTATCCTGGACTGCTTAATTCGAAAACCACAATATATTTTTTATGGCAAGGTTTTCAAAATCTTTTTTTATTTTTCATTTGTTTTTTAAAGATAGCTTTACAATTTGGGTTATATCTTGAGTTAAAAAAGGCCAATCAGGTCGCAAAAGGTGTCAAATGAAACATTATCGAATATTAAACAAAATTACAAAAACAAGAATGCAATATACCTTTTGTTAAAGAATGAATATAAATCATTGAAATATGACCATATTCGAATTATCTACATAGAGTTTGCTCTTTTCCAAAGGAAATAAGGTATTTACAAAAAAATCTATGAATAAAAAGTTTTGACAGTTTATGTAAAAGTAGTAAAATTCAACTTTTTGTTTATTTTTGAACTTTTATCTTATCAGTTGTGTATATTGTAGTAAAATATTAAGTAATAATTAACATATTAATTGCATAAGCAATTGATTTACAATACATTTTGAGGAAATAGTTTTTTTCTACAACCAAGCGAAAAGTACAAATTTGCGCTTCCAAAAGGTTCAAATTTTGAATTTCACAGTGTGATGTTGATGTTACCAATAGGCTATTTTCTTAGGTTGACACTGTGTGATTACTAGGTAAAAAATTTAAATGGTTCCACCCATTAACACTTATCTGTTGTACCATGTTTGGACTTTTACCTTATTCATAGCTTATAGAATAGATTTTTTTATTTTTATTGGAGTATTTTTATGATAGCAGTTTATTAGAAATAGTTTTTTTTCGGTATCTGATTTTGTTATGAGGAACCAAATTTAATTTTCCTCCATTTCTCGGTGAAATGTCGTCACTCTGGTTATTGATATTTTTTGAAAAAAAAGTTTGGATAAAGTTGATCAAAGTTATAAAATATATGTGACTAAAAGTAACGTAAAAAAATAGAAAAAATGTTTTGCTCGAATTGGATTGCAAATTTATTGCATAAAACTACAGTATACCCTATGAATAACGTAAAAGTCCAAAAATAAACAAAAACTAAAATTTTGCTACTTGTACATAAACAGTCATAACTTATCCATAGTTTTTTTGTAAATACCTTATTTTCTTCCCAAAAATGTGTTCTCTTCATAGATAATTCGAAAATGGTCATATTTCAATGGTTTTTAAATATTCTTAAATGTTGCATTCGTATTTTTGTTCAATATTCGAGCTCATTGCACTTCAACTCAACTCAACTGATTATAGTCCGGGAGGCAGTGAAGATTTTCGGTACTTATTTTCCCAGTTTGTGAATGTCATTAAGTTTGTTCAAATGGTGACACAAAACGACAATTTGGGTGTCTGGCTGAAATTTTCGGATGGGTTCACTAGATGAGCCAAAAAGTCAAGTCCACTTATTTTCCCAGTCATAAATATTTCACATTAATTAAAGTGAGTCATTTTATTAATGGAAATAACAGTCTGGCACATCCCAAGTGAAGGAAAGTCAGTCTGGCTGAAAATTTGCGGAAGCAAAAATTTGACCGGTTTTTGAAATACGTAGCCCTTATTTTCCCATGCTTAAAATTTAACCCATTATTTGGTACTGTCATAAACTATAATCAAAATTAAGTCTGGCTGATTTATGAAATTGGCAAATTGTTCTGGCGGCATCTTGAAAATCGTAAGAATTACAAAAAATTTGCTCTTATTTTCCCGGATTTGAAAATTTGTCACATGATAAATAATACTATAATTTCGTAGAAAATACACGTCTGGCTGTTATTTACAATCACGAAAGCCCCGCCAGACTGCGAAAATAAGGGCAATGATTTTGATAATTTTTCCATCTGCCAGACATATTACCCATACTCACAGTTTAGCCAGACTATTTTTTTTTCATAAGTTCAGTATATCTCTCACTAATGGAATTATTTTTATCACTGGAAAAAAAAGTGCAATATATTTGTACTTTATAACGCAATTTCCGCCTTAACCCATCCGAAAACCCCCGCCTAAATATATATAAATTTTGCTCAGAATAACAAACCCAATAATTGTATCGGTGTTTGCCGACTGGGAAAATAAGTACCGAAAATCTTCACTGCCTCCCGGTTGGACGAGTCTGGCAAGGCTTTCGGAGTGTTCCACATTAGCCAGACTATATTTGCAGCTGTAATTATAATATAAACTATCATCTCACAAAATTTTTAGGACTGCGAAAATAAGGGCAATGGTTTTGATAATTTTTCCACCTGCCAGACATATTACCCATACTCACAGATTGGCCAGACTATTTTTTTTCTTAAGTTCACTATATCTCTCACTAATGGAATTATTTTTATCACTGGAAAAAAAAGTGCAATATATTTGTACTTTATAACGCATTTTCCGCCTTAACCCATCGGAAAACCCCCCCCTAATTATATATAAATTTTGCTCAGAATAACAAACCCAATAATTGTATCGGTGTTTGCCGACTGGGAAAATAAGTACCGAAAATCTTCACTGCCTCCCGGACTATTAGGCATTAAGAGAGTGATTTTATTTTTACACCTGTTGCAATCAGGTTGGCCTTTTCTAACTCGAGATATGTAATATAATAATATATAATTGTAAAGCTGCATTCGAAAAACAAATGAAAAAAAAATAAAAACTTAAATCTCTAAAACTTTGCCACAGAAATAGTGGCATCATGTACATTTTGGCTGCAAACCAGTGTTATCAATATGTGAAGTTTCAATTTAAATTTGGTTAGTTTTAAAAATAAAGGTGTATAATATTAACAATATTAACATAAATTGTTTGTATTGGGCCAAATAATTTAGGTTTGTTAACAATTTTAGCAGCTCAAAAGAGGATAAATCCGAACAAAATTCAATAAGCACTACCACTAGTACCACATCAACTCCCAGTAAAATGTCACCAGCTTCTAGTCCACTACCCACAACACAGCCTTTGAGAAGGTAAGATTTATTTATTTTTACAAATTGTTACTTTCTGTAACTAATATCTTTGGGTAAGTTAATTGTTGCTGAGTATATTTTTGACAGACCAAAAAGTATTTTTTTCTATTCTTATATGGATAATTTGGTTTTATACTAAGGTGTTTTTAAATTCTCTTAAAATATTTCACTTAGTAAAAACATAAAAAAGACTGATGATTATATAATATATACTTGCAAATCCAAGTCCGACCGGGTTGGGAAGGACGGTTGTTCAATACCCGCGTGAAAAGAATAGAGGATAGAATGCCAAACAGAATTTGATTGGTCAGAGCCGGCAGGCGTGCGTATTGTAAGCGCCTTCTGTTTGGCGTTCTATCCTTGTTATTTTCACGCGTCCTTCCCAACCCGGTTGGACTTGAATTTGCAAGTATATATTATATAATATATATCTTTTTAACTATTACTAATACAATAAATTTTGTAAAAACAATTTTGTAGGAAATATATGTGCTACAAAATATATCTTTTAACTATTACTAATACAATAAATTTGGTTAAAATAATTTTGTAGGAAATATATGTGCTAAAAATTTTTATTTTACCATTTTTTTAAATTTATATTTAAATTCTTCACCTTAAAGGTTTACATTATCCTCTAAAACACCTGGGTGTACTGTAAATTAGTAACTGGTTTAATAAAACGAAAAAAATGGAAAAAAATAGTAAATCAAATTTTGTGCCAAAACGTGTTTTTTCCAAAGTTATTTAATACAATCAAAAAAGAACTTTCACCCTGTATCTGGGTAATTATAAACTTTTGCATATAAGTAAATTTAGTTATATCGCATTTTTTCGGTCTCAGGGTTATGTGATATTATTTTGTACAGGCATTTTAGGGACACCTTGTTTATTATGCAACGACCATAATGATGGCTTTTAATCCGAGTGTCTTAATAACCCATTAAATGGGAGGTGCACACACTATTCTTTCTACGATCGTAATAAAGTAGAATATTGATACTTTAATTCTAAAGTGTTTTGTACCATTTTGCTGATTTTACGGGTAATAAATTGTTTGCAGCCTGTTACAATTTCTAGCGAGGCTGTTTTCAATTTTACATTCACTATCGCACATGTTCACTAATTGTAACTTCATAATAAATTTTTCTTATGTAAACAGTTACTTGTCAAAATTGATATTTTAGATCTGTCAGATGGCTAACGGGTGCGACACTGACACTGCGTTTTTCATGATATGAAGTGTTTGTCAGATATACAGACCGTTCAGAGTAAAACCGAATATAGGGAAACCTATTGGGCGTGGCCTCGCCTCTCTCCAACGCGCGACACAGTAGCTAAGCAAATAGCCTGCATCGCTAATAAGATTTTTTGCATTATTATCATTTAATTTTTAAGGTCGTTTTACCTGCTCAACCTTTCGTGATGTCGTTTATCACACAAGCTACTGCGGCGCGCGTTGGAGGGAGGCGGTTTCGGTTTTACTCTGAACGGGCTGTATCAAGATAAGTTAATATATAAAAATAGTATAAAAAATAAGATATTTAATTCAAACAAAATGTCAATAAAAACTTGGATAGAAAACCTTATATAACGTCATGAATCGCGTAACGGACGCGACATTAGAAAATCAACAAATGCGACCAAGTTGGCTTCCAAAGTTGATCCTGTAAAAAGCACGTATTTTAAATGCACAAATATTGTATACTTTATTTTCTACAATTTTCTCAAAATGTAACGGGTGCGACATTTGAACTTTTTATCAATTAAACTATTTGACTTCAGATATAGTTTTTGTTTTGTTAAATAACACATCTGATTTCTTGTCAAGGTGGGGTGAGGTTTCGCGGAAATACCCCAAGGCAATAATTAATATAGACATAATAATGCCTTGTATCGCATTTCTATTGGTTAATATTGCCGTTAATTGCATTTGTATTGGTTAAAAATCTCCCTGTTTAAAATGTCACATAGAGATTCTGTTCAAACTGATAGATGTTTGTATCGAATTGTATGGTGTTTCTATAGGGTGTATCAGTATGTATAGGACACATAGTTTGGATTTATGGTTGTTCTATAGGGATATCCCTCCTTGATTTATTTGCTATCGGTCTCAATAGGGAAAATACACATAAATGTAGAAATTAGTTTTTCTCCCATAGGACCCCATAGGTTTTAACAAAATTTTTTCAAATGTTTTTTATGCTCTATAGGGATATCCCTATATATCCATCCTTCCTTGAGTTATTTTCTATCGGTCTCAATAGGGGAAATGTAAAAGTTATGGTATGCCTATAGGTAATTTCCTATACATTTTCTATCGGGCCCACTGTGGGCCCTATGCCCAAACTAGGTTGCAATAGGTCATTATTGAAAAAGTATAATTTGCCACTATTGTATTATTAAAAACATTTTCAAACTTGTTAAAACATAATTGCTTTTTGAAAAACTCTACGAAGACTTTTTTATAAATGCCCAGATGTCAGATCTTTAAAAGAAAGTCTATTTTTAATGCAATCGTTTTAATGAAAACTACGATTTTTGCGAATTTTTTTATAGCTTAGAGAGCCGTAAAAAGCAAAAGTCGCCTTAAACATTTCATAACTGACATTAGACCTGTCAATTAGTTGTGTTGGGTACATAAAATTATAGAAAATTCGTGTTTTTTTTTGTTTTTGGCAAGAACTGATAAGGTAATTACCAAGAATATTTAATTTTTTATGTTTTGCAGAGTAAAAAAATAGGAAGGCCAACGAATGCCAAGCCAAAATATATATTTTTTATTAGACAAAGATATAGACTACTAAAAACTGTTAACCAAAAAAATCTCAAAAAATCGCGAAACTTATCCCAGTCAAAAATGTAAACTTCTGAGAAAAGAAAATAATAACAATTAATATGCATCTTAAGTTGTTTATGGCATGTATTGCTTGGGCAATGAGAAAATTAAATTAATATTTTTATCCGTTTTTAATATTACATCAAGGTGGCCTAGATGCATTATTAAAAATTGCTCAAAAGGCATTAAAAAATCACATCTAAGTCCAGAATTATGTTAAATATCCGAGAATGTAAATATATACAGGGGTTTCTATTTCATTTTTTTGAACCTGAACCCATTTCCGGCAAAACCGGAAGTGACCGAAAAAATATGCGAAAACCCTCCTCTTTATACACCATTTACCTATTACCAACACTCTGTATTTCACTTTTTATCTGCTAAACGAAGCAACTGCGTTGAGTCAAATTGACCTATTTTCAGAAAAGGAATCTCTAGATTTATAATTTTCGGGATAAAACATAGTAACTATCGCGATATATCGATAGTAGGACCTACTACCTGGTATGCACACATTACAAAATAATTTTTGCTAGCAAATTGGTAACCATTACATCAACAGTAAAAAAATACAAGCGAAAATTAGTACCTAACCTTGCTTTTCTGATTATTCTAATTTTTAAAGATAACTGAGTGTAGCACCAAACGACTTTAATTGGCAGTTAAAACTTATACTCCAAAAATATTCAAAATTTATTAATACGTTTTTAAGATATTTAAAAAAATAGTTATTTTTCAAAACTTTTAAGGCCTCTAACGACTAAACAAAGCAAATTAGTATATAGGTAATTTGGGTTAAATTGACTTATTTTGATCCGTAGATAATGTTGGCATGGTTTAGTACACTAGTTGAAGATAACACTGTATTTTATAAATTAATTTCCAAAAATACTAATGTGGCAACACTGGAAATAAAAAATAAATTATATAATTAATTACCAGCATTGGTTAGTCTCAAAGTTTAATTATTTTTAAAGTTTTAAGTAAATAGAAAAAAAATTTAATTAATGCAACCTAGTTTGGACATTGGGCCCACAGTGGGGCCGTATCCGGAAGAAGCATAGACAAATGCACATATTGAGTCCGGTAGCGCCCGATAGATTATTTTTATGGGTCTCTATGGGGTATTTTAAGCAGGGCTGTATTGTTTTGCCAAATTTGTATCTTAATGGATATATGTAGTCTAACCTTAAACAAGCACTTATTTTAAATGCACAAATATTGTATACTTTATTTTCTACAATTTTCTCAAAATTTAACGGGTGCGACATTTGAAATTTTTATCGAGTATTTTTATGGGTCTCTATGGGATATTTTAAGCAGGGCTGTATTGTTTTGCCAAATTTGTATCTTAATGGATATAGTCTAACCTTAAATAAGCACTTATTTAAAATGCACAAATATTGTACATAATGTCTAGAGTCCCGTCAGACGGGTCTCCATTGCGCTCCCGTTAAAACTTTGTGACGTCACACACTGTAAATAGGTATTATTTTTCGAGCGATAGGATTATTACAATAAGCTCGGTAGCTCGATGGAAGGGCGCCTGCTTTGCATGCGAGAGGTACGGGGTTCGATACTTCGCGCCTCCACAACTTTTTTTAATTTTTTTTTAAAGAATTTTTATACCAAAATAATACAGTGTGGCCTTAAAAGCATTTATATTTAATTTTACATTAATATTTTAATTTATTTACCTTTCCTAATAATCATTTTGCTAGTTATATAATATAAAATCTAATTAAATGAATATTCCTTCGTTGAAAATTTTTTACTCAATGGGGCGGGGGGGGCCAATGGGGCGGGGTCGGTTGGGTTGGGTTGTTGGGTTTGGGTTGGTTTCGAAGCGGGCGGACTCGGGACGTTGGTTAAGGAAAAAAGATCTGCTTCCCGTCCTAAGATTGCGTCATTTGATGACGTCACTCTGTTAACGGGAGCGCAATAGAGAACCGTCTGACGGGACTCTAGACGCGGCGAATATTGTATACTTTATTTTCTACAATTTTCTCAAAATTTAACGGGTGCGACATTTGAACTTTTTATCGAGTATTTTTATGGGTCTCTATGGCGTATTTTAAGCAGGGCTGTATTGTTTTGCCAAATTTGTATCTTAATGGATATAGTCTAACCTTAAACAAGCACTTATTTTAAATGCACAAATATTGTATACTTTATTTTCTACAATTTTCTCAAAATTTAACGGGTGCGACATTTGAACTTTTTATCGAGTATTGAAACTCTTTCGTGTTTATTCTTAAAGTTAGCTTCTTATCATAACAATGTACGATTATTTTAAGGTTATAAATTACATCGCAATTAAACTATTTGACTTTAGATATAGTTTTTGTTTTGTTAAATAACACATCTGATTTCTTGTCAAGGTGAGGTAAGGTTTCGCGGAAATACCCCAAGGCAATAATTAATATAGACATAATAATGCCGTGTATCGCATTTACATTGGTTAATATTGCAGTGTATCATAATGGTTATACAGGTAGCAAATGTCTAATAAAAGAATTAAAGTATGGGAGTAGAAAAATACTTTTTTGGTTTACAAATTGAGAATACCTTTATAACCGTAATATTTTGCCCCAGTGGTTTAAAATTGTCGATTGGCAATAATCAAACCGCTTTGTCGACGGTATGTTCGACTTCCCCCACCACTTCGACAATAACAGTAACAACAACGGCACCAACATCGGCGACAACAACGCCAAATACAATCGCTCCAACGACTCCAACAACACCTGGAGGAACCAGACTTCAAATTTTTAAAAACTTTTTCAAGTATGATGCGATTGATTGAGTCGTTTCCTTTTTCTTTCACTAACAGTGCGTGAGGCGATTTTACTGTGTTTGGATATATTAACACATTTTTAGAATGATGCTGTACAAAGAAAACAAAAGCAAATCCTTTTGTGTTTAATATAATTCATGCTTTTTGCAGGCTAACCACAGAAATAATTTTATGAGTAAAATACTTTTTTTTATTTCAAAAACAGTATGTGATGGTAGAATTTTAATTCGTTTTGCCGTGTACATGCATGACAACATTTTTCCACCCGAAAAGGTGTTTTAGGACTGAATTTCTAAATCTTACCATCATTTAGGTCCTTCGTTCCACCAGTTAGAGACGAAGAGAGCGAAACGCAGCGTAAAGCCCACGCGAAGAGGGTGAGGGAAACAAGACGTTCCACGCAGGGTGTCACGTTGGAGGAGATCAAATCTGCCGAGCAGTACATCAAAAAGAGCCAAACAAACAACAAATCCGATGCGGTAAGTCAATATTTTGATTTTCAATTTAATTCAACCGTTTTTTTGTTCACAATAAGTAGTGATTATTCACGTGATTTTGCTTTAATTTCACGGTTTTTATTTCGTAATTAATGATTTGCTTTAAGTTTATTTTTAATTTTTTCATCATCATTTCCTACTTTATGCAACATATAAAAAAACTATTTTGGAAAGTTTAACAATAAAAAAGTAATTATACATACTTTATTATTACAAAAATGTTGAGAGATTTAAAAGAACAGTATTTATGGTAAAGGGAATCTTGTTACACTGTTGTCGTTTAAGAAGTGGAGGAAATTGTTATTAAGTTTGTTCCTCAGGTCAATTTGACTGTGAAATATTGCGCATGTCCACTGTCTTATATACGACCGTGCACTTGTCTATTCGATAGTCCAGATGCCGTAGGAACAAACATAGTAAAGCGATATTTTCTTTTTCTTATCAACTCAGGTTTAAAACTAATTTCTGGTAAAAATTCTACTTAATATTTGAAACGGCACATATTTAAGTCTGTACTTAAACACAAAAAGTTAAGGGGCGTCAATCAAATAGTTATATTCGATATAATAACTTAAAATTATTTAAGGTCTGATGTATTTTTTACATTACCCTATTAATTAACCTTTAGGTTATAAAACATAAGAGTAATTTTTAAAATTGGGCAAACTAACACATCGTTGGGTTTAACATTTTGGAATATAAAAAGCACAGGTATTTAAAAGTCACACTAACTTTACATTTTTTTTTTATTAAAATTGTACCCAACTTAATTTCCAAACTGAAAGATATATATCAAGGGGGCCACAGAAGTGTTTTTTGTAACTTTACTTTCTATAGAATATGCTTATTATATAAATCAATCTAAAATTGCATTTTCCACCACATAATGCATAGCTCTGATTGGTTAATCACCGATGGAAGCCATAATCTATAGAAATTTGCAAATTTCAAAGGAACACCACCCTGGTCTAAATACAATTCTTAATATATATTTAATATCCAAATGGGATTGTGTAAAACTTTTAAATATCTGTCCTTAGATTATAGTAATTAGAATTTTATCAATAACACAGGTTTACAATAAATAATGTTTATTTAATTTCCAATAAATCTAAATCTGACACCTAGAATTTGTACGACTATAAATAATATTTAAACATCATTTTAAGTAAAAGTGACAGACAACATTTCAAGTTAGAATAAAATTAAATGAATGTATTATTATAATGTCTTAAACTAATTTACATAATTTAAAAGATCAACAGCTTTAAAAAAGTATATTAAAATTATTAAAATAAATAATTTTTAAAACATGGTATGAATTGATTCTAAAGAAACTAGTTAGTATAAATTACAAGTGTAGGCACAGATTAAATGAAACTAAATTTTCATTGTAATAAATTAAAATTAGTATTCATATTCACACAATAATAAATATTATAAAACACACGACATCATCGATCATGGTCCCCTCATTTTTGTATGTGTGCACTAACAGTCGGGCGCTAACGGTGACTCCGGCATCCACGTGACCGCTACCATAACGACGGCCACGCCCACCGTCATCACTCGGGAGAGCGAGGACGCGACGACAACGCACGAACGCCGGCCTTCGTGGAGATTGCGCGTCGATAATGGTAGCTGCAAGGTGAGTAGGCGACGTATGTCGTTACTAACTGCATGCATTCAGGTGGGCCGACGGAAACTGAAGAATAACGTTAAAATGATCCTAAATACAATAATTTTATGCTATTGATTTTTAAATGCCTATAGCAATTTTACGAAATTTTATTTATAAAAATATATATACACTGCAGTTTACGTGTTCGAGGGTTTTTTCGAGAAAATAATTTTAAAGCCCTTTTATTTAATAATAAAAAAACGTTCCAAAAATAACTTTTAGGGGATTTTTTTAACTAAATAAAAAATATGCTGTTAAAGACCGTATTTTTGTTAGTATACCCTGAAAATTTTGTACTAATCAAACAAACAGTAACGAAGATACAGCGCTTCAAAGTCGGTAAAAATGACCCCTTTTTGATTATATTGCTGAAAAATTGTCATTTTTGACGACTTTGAAGCGCCGTATTTTCGTTACTGTTCGTTTGATTTTTTCACATTTTCAGGGTATACTTACAAAAATACGGTCTTTCACAAAATAGTTTTTATTTACTAAAAAAAAATTATAAAAGTTTTTTTTCGAGCGTTTTTTATTATTAAATAAAAGGGCTATAAGAATATTTTTTCCAAAAACCCTTGAACACGTAAACTGAGATATAAGTTGAAGTATTTTTATTCAAAATTTCATAAAGATTGGTAAAGGGGTTTTAGAGATGGAATTTTTTTTATTTATTATGCGTTAATTTTGACGGGCAGTGTATGTAGTCTTTATGCATACATGTATAACAGTCTTATTTCTCGGGGGTACATATAAGGGTGTAATCGGCAAAGTGCAACTTTTACTCTAGACAAAAAATAACAAGTTTCAATTATTTAAAATTTTATAGTTGTATTTTTTGGTAACTGTTTAAGATGTAATTATGAAGTGAAGTAAACGTAGCAGATCTATGTGAAATAATATATTTTTACATAATCTTGTATGATACAAGTTGTATCTTAGATTGTATAATAATATTAAACAATCTAACTTTTTAGTATAATAATATATATATATTATGTTAACTGAAAGGTTTTGTGTAATTTTTTAATAAAAAAGTATAATTGAGGCCTGTCAGAGCAAAGTCAACAATCTCCCGTCAGACTAAAACTGAGTAAATTGAGATAATTGATTTTGGTATTTTAAATTCTAGATTTGTAATTTTTTTTATATATTATATTGAAATATTGTTGTTGTTAGTCTAGTAGCAAACTACAAGGTCTCCAGGATGCATAGTATAGGTGAAATCTATAATTATAAATTGGAGATTGCTGACTTTGATATGAATTGCTAGAGATTGCTCATTTTGTTGTAAACGTTTAAGGAGATTCAGAAAAATAAACAAAAAAATAATTGTATTTTTTTCCTTTAATGGTTATAAAATTTAACTATACAATCAATGTGGGAAAATTCTGAACTGGACTACTTAAATCTGGAGTTTCTTCTAAATCTGGGACCAGATTGCCTCGTGCAAAAAAGTTTTTATAGTACAACAACTCATCATCTTCTTCCCACTTTGCCCCGTAATGTTTTACTTGCAATGTTTTGACATTATCAGCCTTTTCTTGCTTTACCTTTACGTCTTATTATGGTATAATAGCACAAAATAAACAAGATAACTTTTTTTATAATTTTTAAAACAATAAAACGTATATATACCTACTTTTAAATATATTTTTAAGTGCAATTTACTGCAATAGAACTTAACAGTATGTACCAGTAAAAAAACACAAAATTAAATCTCTAAAATACGTTATAACATCAAATGTTAGGATATCAGGTGACACAAATTACTAATTTCTAATGGTGGAATTGGAGATTGTATACTTTCCTGCAAATCTATCAGTGGAGATTGTCAACTTTGCACTAAATGTCATTTTTAAAATAGGATTTCAGGCAGGATTTAGCTCCTTTTGCAGCACATAAACTTTATCATCTTATAGATAATTAGTTGAAGTACAGTCTCCGCCAAAAATCTAATTTTTGACCAAAAGTGGAGATTGTCGGTTTTTGCTATGACAGGCCTCAATTGTTTAAAAAAATAATATAATAACAGCAAAATACTTCAGTTTCCGTTGGACTATCAAAAGCCTATGCTTTGCTTGCTTTGGTGCAATGAAAAATTAATTATATATTTTTTATTTTTTTTTGGCTTGTAGTACTTATTATGTTTTATTGGGATGGGATTTTGTTAAAGAACTAATCACAAGTAACGGACTTCTAAGTTACATCTGACACTTTTTTATGATATTTAACAGTTATAAATGTAGGTCTGATATAAAATTTTGACTGTTTACATTAGGTACCTAAAATGTCTGTCCTATACAGTGTGGAATGAAATTCGTTATTCGATGATTGTTTTCTCCCACCATATTCCCCGTACCACTACCAATTTTCGATGAAAAAAGTGGGGTTGTTTAAGATAAATGTGCATAATGTGGTAGGGGGAAATGGGAATGTAAACAATATAAACATATTTTTTCATTATCGAAAAACGAATTTTATTCCATAAGTGTGAACCACACTGTATAAATATCATGCAAAAAGTGTCTGTTGTAACTGTACGGTAAGAAAGATAGATTTTGTCGCTAAATTGCCTTTCTTTGGAGTTCATTACTTTTATTATGTTTTTAAACTTAAATGAACACAAATAAAAAACAGTTACATTACATTACAGTATATATGTACATGTTTAAGATTTAAGGTTTTGGTACACTATGTAGCATGCCGTTATATGAAATTTTAATAATTTTGTTTTAAACAATTATGTTTATTTATTTTAGAAAATCAGTATTATGTCATAATTATTTTATTATAAAAAAGAAGAAATATTAGGGTGGCTAATGCATAAAAAGCGTTACCTATATGAATTCATGCAAAATCAGTATAAGTTTATTTTATGATATACAGTATAACCTCTCCAGGGCTATGTACATAATCTTATGATAAAATAAGCAACACATCTTATATTTTGGTCAAACCAAGTCAAATGAATTTTTATTAATTTTTTGAATAACAATAATTTAAAAAGTATACAGATAAGTTAATAATTTTACAACATTAAAAAATTGATAAATCGCCATAATTCCATGCATTTTTGACAGCTGTAAAATATTGTCAAGATGGATATATTCAAAAAATATTATTTACAAAAAACTTTTTTTATAACAACAATAAAAAATAAGAAGGCATTTCATAAAACTTGGCGGTAGGCCTAGAAGGTATAAATAATTAAAATTGTTCAAATATTTCGTATTATTTTTCAAATAGGTATATTCATCGTGAAGAAAAAACATTTAAAGCTGTAAAAAAAAATTTAATCGCAATAAACGAGTCGTGAGTTTTTCTTATGTACTAAAAATAATAAAAAACGGTGCGGAATTAGAAAACTGATTTGAAGTGCTTTTTTGTTAGTATCTTAAGATTTTTACAATTATCTTTACTTTTCAAAAAATCAATAAAAAATTATTGACACATTTGACTACAATTTTTATCAAAAAGCATCTATTACTTAATTCGTTTTTTGGACTATTTAAAAGGAAATTTACAATTTAAGTTTAAGTTTACGTTAACCATTAATAACACAGGTCTGCGACGAAAAAGTTTTTTGAATACTTTCATATAAAATCTATAGATTTTGACCCACTATTTCCAAATAGTTTATTTTAACTATTTTACTTTTTTTTATTCCCACAGCACAATATTAATTTATGTAAAAAGTAAAAAAATCCCTTATTGTTTTAGCCCTTAGTGTTGCTCATAAGTACTTTAATTTTGATTTTATAATTTTTCCATTGAAATAACAGGAAATTTAGGATTTTTTTTAATTTCCTATAACTTGGCGAAATTTAACGCTAGTAGAATTTTTATAGGTGCGATTAGTGGATGTTGCTCTTTAAAATTACCTGCAGCAATTTAACTACAACTTATATTTTGACATGTATACGTCACCGAAGTAGTATTTTTAATAAAAACAGTACTTTTTGCATTTTATGGCAAAAGTATAAAATACTTTTATAGAAAATTAAGTTTCCTACAAAAATGAATGAATAAAATTAAATGCCTAGTTTTGAATCTGGTAAATGTGACATGGTGTATATCCACACAACAAGGTCTGTTCTATCTCATACTAAAAATCACTGCAACACTGCACAGAGTTTAACGGCGGCCATTTTTGTTGTTTACAATTCTTGTGCTTTGGGTTTGTGCTCTCTTTATACAGATTAATAATTGTTTTAAACGTTGTTTCTTTCAGAGGCACTTGTAAGCCTATAATAATAATAATAATAAAGGACTTTATTGATTATAATACAGAATTACAGTTGTACAATATTTAAATACAGGGCGAGATTTAGTTCTTACACACTCCAAACAATGAGGCCTTAAAGTGCCAAGAACAACCATTTTACTTCTCTTTTGTAAAAAATAAACCTTGTTCTATCAGGGATGCCATTAAACTGTCAAATTTAAATTTTAAGGTTAATTTACCATAACCCAAAAATTTAAATTTGACAGTTTGATGACAGCCCTGAAAGAATAAGGTTTATTTTTTACAATAGAGGAGTAAAATGGTTGTTCTTGGCACTTTAAGGCCTTTTTTAAGGCTTACAAGTGCCTCTGTAAGAAACACAACGTTTAAAACGATTCTTAATCTGTATAAACAGAGCACAAACCCAAAGCACAAGACTTGTTCTGATAGAACAGACCTTGTTGTGTGGATTGTGTATATCATATGAATATCATTTTAGATTACTTTCACATTTTTATAAAAAATATTAATTTTGCAGATCTGTGTAATTAATAATCATTAATGATTAATGCAAACAAAATATTTAGCAAATTTACTTTGGAAAGTAAAAAAAAATCATGTGCGCTTATATCAGACCACATGGCTGAAGTGAAACTTCTTTTGAACAATTTAATTTAATTCGTGTTTTGTTACCATTTAATCAATTATCATTATATATGTTAATTTAATTTTAATGTGCAGTTTTCAATTACCTTGTTTTAAATAAATTAAATGGAAAGTCAGTTTTCAATTATCCAATTTTATTCGAATTTGGACGGTTTTTAACTACCCAAATCAATAATTTTAATGTGCACTTTTCAATTACCCGGTTTTAAATAAATTAATTGAAAGGGCAGTTTTTATTTATCCAATTCTGTTCTAATTTGGTCATTTTTCAATTATAGTCGTCGCGGCGAATGTTTCAAATTGCGTCATCAAGTCAAAAAACCGATTTCTCGACATACGGTTAACCTAGCGGATTATATACGTAAATGAAAACAACAATAATTGTAATGTCTGTGCTTGGTTCAGAATCTGATGACGCACTTTAAAACATTCGCCGCGACAACTATACCCATATTATCATTTTTTGACATCTTTTGACAGGTTTTAAAAATAGCTGGTCAAAAATGACAGGTGCCAGATGACAGAAATAATAATAATATTTAAAAGATAATAATAAATCCCCTTAAAAAGTATCTCCCCTTATATCGATTTTCTGACGTCATAATTTTTATTTTTATTTTATTATTTATTTTAATGTGCTTCCAACAGGCACCTGGCCTAATTACAGGAGTACACACTACCAAACAGCCATGCCCATTTGGGATTCGAACCCACGATCTCTTGGCTTGTAGATTGCAGTGCTGAATACTACACCACTTGCGTCGAGTGTTTCATTTTCTTTGGTTTCAACATTCATTACCTCGTTCGCAAAGAAGTTTCACTTCAAAAACTTAATTACATATTTTTTTAATTATATGAATTAATTTATAATTATAAAAAAATAAATACAAAATGCTTTTTAGTAATATTGACATTTCATCTACTTTTCTTCTATTATAATTTAAATCGCGTACTTAGTGATTGGAGCTCACTACTGTATTTAAACTAAAAGAAAATTGTGTGAATTTTATATGAGTTGGCTGACTCATACTTTAATCCGACTAATCCATTTTTTAACAAATTAACAAGGAATCATCCATAATTATAACTTGTATATATGGATACTGCAGTTCTAGTTTTTTCTTATTTTTTCAGATTTTCCCTTTCCTTATGGTTTTGCTTCTAAGCTCATATTTTGTGTGCCACCCTGTACAACATATTTTGACTTTCTTAACTCTTCTACTTTTCTGTTATTGTAAACGTATATTTAATGCTAAAGTGTAGCGCTATTGTTTTTGCGCGTTTATTATTTTTTAATAATATTTACCCAGTATTATTTATAGTGTTTATTCCGCTTATTAAATACATAATTTATTAATCACTGTTGCCAAATTTATATAGTAAAGTACTTATTTATAAACATACTAAATAAAAGTATAATAATTATAATCAAGGTCGGTTTTATTTGTGTAGATGTTTCCTAATCTGCTAAACGCTAATGTACCGATTTAATTTTTAATTGTTTTTAAATAAATCTGACGCAAATGTTAGGTATACAATGTTTTTTAATTAATATAATAAAATTAACTATTATAAAGGCCAAAAATGTATTTGGCATTCTAAATCTAATCCAAATCTAATAGAATACTAAAATAATTTATTTAATAAATATATTTGTTGCTAAATCATTTTAACCAGAGTGTTGTTATCCATTTTTTATTAAATCAGTGTATGTTCTTAAAAAACCTTACTTCATGGCATTGGAAGGTTTAAAAAATCTCAAATTAGTGCAATTTTAAAGCACTTTAGGACATATAGTTTGAAAACAAGACATAAGATATAGTATGCCATATTTGCCGTTTTCTAAAAATATCATTGATATGTTATTTTCAAATTTTATAAAGAGTGAGTTTTAAGTTGACTTTTTCAACACTGTGTAGAAATCAAACAAACAAATATTTCAAATTTATTCGCCGCGGAGAAAACCGTTTTGTCGATAAACGTCCGGCATACATCCCACATAAGTATACAAAGAAAACAGCAGTATAGTCGCCCTGGCAAATGTTTTCCATTGCGTCATCAATTTTATATTTCAAAAACAGGTTGTCGACACACGTCCGGCATTCATCCCACATAAGTATACAAAACAAAACAATCACCGCGGCGACTATAATTTTTTATCAAAACGAACGAGGCATCTTGAGTTCTGTGCGAAGCGGGAGAAACAGAATCTGGATTTAGTGCATAAAGATCCAACGACAAGCATTCGTGTAATCGCTTCAGGTTTAAGTTAGTCAGACGAAAAATTGTAAAACTATGCACGAAAATAAGCTACATCTTTACCACCCAGAGGATTTTCCAATCAGTTAACTTTGGCAACTGGCTTTTAGAGCAAAATGCCAGAAATAATACCTAAGAAAAAATTGAACCTACACCTAGTCAAAGTTTTTTGTTTTGAATGCGTTCCACCAACTTTAAATACCGACAGACAGCTGTTGAATGTTTACCTTAATAATACCTAACTTTTTAAAAGGGATTTTGGTGATGTTTAAAGCCATATTAACCAGCAATGGAAATAATAATGTCCACAACAAACATGTTCTTCTAGAGAATCAGAGCTGTACGAATAACTCATTTTCAAGAACGTTCTTTCGTTAATGTGTCGACAGGCATTGTAAATAGAATAATATTTGGACAATTTATGTTACCCAAGGTTTAAACGGCGACGACTACCTTCATTTTTTTTTAATACTAGCCAGGACCGACCTCAAAATTTAATCAAACTTTGAAAAAAGTTACTTGTAATTTGTGTTTGTCTATTTGATTTCTATAAGCTGTTAAAAAAAGCGCAAACCAAACTTAAAACTCAGATTGTATAATTTGCAAACGTTATTTAGGAACATTCTGTATATAACTGATTATTTTACAAATCTATAATTAAATAGGTAAATAAAACACAATAAAAATATAATTTATTTAGTTTTTAGAGTATTTCTTATAACAATGCACATAAATCGTAGATGTAGTGTAAATATCTTTGACCTTTTTGGCGTAGGCTTAATAGTTGGATTAAATTTTTGCGGCCCTATTCGATACATTTTAACGCCATTTTTGTTTGTTTATCTCTTTCCTTTTTGTCGACGATCAGTTCAAATTGGAGGACGCCACCAAGCCTGCGGATACGCCTAGCACCCCGTCGTTCGTGCGTCGCAGCAGTACTACCACCACGACCACCAATAGCAACAACAACACGTTGCTGGCGTCGCAGCAGAGACCGACGTCGGCGCCGGTAGAGACGGCCGACGCCACCGTCACCCTGCCTCTGAGGAGGCCCAAGAGCCTGGAAGAAAAAGGTACAAATTATGGTTTGAATATTTTTTATATTTTTGTTTAATATAATATCATAATGATTATTATTTTATTTAATTTTTTTCTAGAGATTCTCTTAAAACCAGCTGAATTATAAAAAAAATGTATGACATTTTTTTTACATATACAGGGTGTTATGTAATTAATGTTATATATTAAAATGGGTAGTTCCTTAGGGTCCATAAAGAAGCACCTGAAACTTTTTTTTTCTAAATTCCAAAGACTAAAAATAATTTATAATAACCTTTATCCTACCAAAAAGTACGCCACTGATCGACTAGGAACCGCGGATTAACCTTATCTATTACTTTTTAATGCAGTGTTGCATGCTTTCGCGCACCCGCGTAAAAATGTCTGGACTATTTACAATTAAGTTCCTGAGTTGTTGCCCAAATCCCGTCTCTCGTAAATGTGGCCTCATCGGTATACAAAACACTATGGCTCCAATCAGCATCTTCTTGATTTTTCTGTATATACCAATGGCAAAATTCCGACCGCAGTGCATAATCTCCATCCTGAAGAGCTTGAACTTTTTGTAGGTGATAGGGGAACAAACTATTTTCGTGAATCGTGCGCCACGTAACAAAGTTGGACATTTGTCCAAGTTGGGCAGTTAATCGTCTTGTACTAATTCTCGGATTTGCTTCCACTTCGTCCAAAATTTGTTCTTCAAGGGCCACAAATTCACGTCCCTGAGCCCGACCCCGTGATTGGCGTTGTGATAATTTTGAATATACCCACCTACAAAATTCTTGCTTGACAAGCATTTTGCATCGCTTCCCCGTAACACAAAACCATATTTGTTAATTGAATATTTGTGAGCGCCCGACCCGCCATAGCATAAAATCTTTCGCACTAATTACTTATTATTATTACTAATAAAATACAAATATTCAAACTTTCAAAATTTTTATAAAAGAATAAAAACCTGAAAAAACTTGAAAAAAAAATAAAAACCTGAAATCGCTAGATCACTAATTAGACCTTGTAAAAATTTGTAAACTAATGATTTTTTTAAAATCCTTTTAACATTGTGATTTAAAAACATACCTACTTATAAAAAATATATTTAAATTTAGACACACCAGACTTAAACTTTATTCATAATTCGTAATGATTTACTTTACTTTAAGTTAATCTGGTTTAATTTACAGTCCGTTCAGGCTAAGTTGAGCGCTTTGGCGGGGGATCATATGGCCGTTGATTAAATTAAATATCGAATCGTCGCGAGATTTCGGTGACAAGAAGATGATTTATCAGTGCCGCAGCTTGCCGTTTCTTCGTACAGAGGGGCTACCAAAATACATGTATTTAATTGTGCCTGAACATAGAGATGATGGACGGCTTGACATTCCTTAGACCGCTCAACTTAGCCTGAACGGACAGTATTATGTTGGTTGGTAACACATTCTGTCAGAAAATTGTAGGTTATGTGCTCAAATTCTAAATATCTTAACTAACGATTAACCTGTGAACTTGTCCTAATTTCATCTGAGTAAACAGAAAGAGAAAAACCGATGAAAAAATTAATTTTATGGAGTTTTTAAATAGGTACTAATTTTTCTTATCATTGCTTAATATCATTGCTTAATAATAAGTTAATAGCTGGATGACTAAATAAATACAGAATGGTATTAGAACTTTAAGGGCTTAAAACTTATGTATTTATTTATTTTATGCAAGAAAATTTTTTAGTAACAATTTTTTACAACTGGCAACGCGCAGCTACTTTGTTGGATTGTATCTATGTACTCACAGAACACAAGTGTGTAACCAGTGGCGTATCACAAAAAATATAAAAAACTTCTAATGCATATATTTTCTTTATCTTTGGGAAAATATCTTTTAAAATATTTTTCCATTACACCTTATGTCAAAAGGTATTCAGTATTTTAATATATAACATTAATTACATAACATATGTAGTTCAAATTATGTTATTTTATATTCTAATGTAATAAAATTGATTACATTAGAAGATAAAATAACATTATTTGATCTACATATCGCACATGGGCGACAACAGTGTCATAAGTAGTAAAACGATAATTCCGATATAAGTTAACGTAAAAGATTTTTGAATAATAAAAATCTGACATTTTTGTAAAATTATATTAACTTACACTGTAAGTTAATATAATTTTACAAAAATGTCAGAATTTTATTATTCAAAAATCTTTTACGTAAACTTATATCGGAATTTTCGTTTTACTACTTATGACACTGTTGTCGCCCATGTGCGATATATGTAAAAAAATGTCATTAATTTTTTTTTTAATTTTGCTGGTTTTAAGAGAATCCCCAGAAAATTCTCGAGGTGGCAGGATAATTTTTTATCGAGTATTGAATTGATTTATTCTTAATGTTAGCTTCTAAGCATCACAATGTACGAATATTTTAGGGTTATAAATTACGAGCAATTAAACTATTTGACTTTGGATATAGTTTTTATTTTGTTAAATAACACATCTAATTTTTTGTCAAGGTGGGGTAAGATTTGGCATAAAAATTAAATCTAATTTTAAAATATCTGCTATGTTATTATTAATTCGCAGAATAAAAATCTTATGTGATATTTTTTATCTAATTGAAAATATCACTATAGGGTTAACACAAAATTAAGTCCTGAATAAAAAATAAAACGGCGCCCCATATTCATGGTAGCTTTATCCAAAATCAAAAAAAACAAATATTTTCTGTTTGTAGGTGAGTAAGCTGTGTGAATAAACGAAGGATTAAAAAAATTATAATTAAGTTGTAGCAAAAAAGTATAATTAAATTTTAGACTTTATATTGCATTGTAAAGTTTGGATCAAATAAAAATTTTGATCAAAGAAAAAAATCCTTTGTTCAGTCACTAGTCAATTGTATCTAGAAGTGTGCAAAATTTTGATTCGTTTTTGGAAATTCGTGCCGACGGACCTAAAATATAGTTTTTTAAAAAATATAGAAGTTTTAAGTAGCAATAAAACGAGCCTAATAGGAGGAGTTTCCCAAGAGTTTTATTCCGATTGACTTGATATTGTTACTATTGGTTAAAAAAATGATTTTTTTTAAATTTCAAAATGCACAATAAAAATTGTATTTTTTAGCACTGGATTTGTTTTCAAAAGCTACCTAATTATATTTTTTTCAATAGTACATTCATGTAAATTGATTTTCTAAATAAATATCGCCGAAATATTTAATTGAAAAATAATTATTGGGGTTGGGACATGCAATTTTTTTATTGCATATTTGGAATATGCGCATTCGAGTTATTCAAATTTTATTCTTACGTTATGAAAACCGCAAAACGCTTTAATGAATTTGAAGAGAGATCGTGACGTCACGATGTAATAACAAATTTATCAAGAATTACGAATGAATCCAACATCTGTTTCCAGCATGGTTTCTAGGTTATGTTAAATATTTGTAAAGTATTTATTTAGTTTAAATATCAAGGAGAAGTATCTACTAGGGATGCGAATGATATAATAATTTTATGAATTTTATACTAAAATTCGCTGAATGGTTTTATAACAAGTAAAAAAAATTATATATGTGAAAGAATTCGGTTATGTTCGGATTTTTATTTTTGCATATATTACTTTCATGAACACTGTATTCTTGTATGTGTAATTCATTTGTAAAACTTGACATGCCTATTATCAAACTTGAAATACCCACCAATTATATTTTAACATCGTTTTTAAGAATAAAATCATAGCAAAAATCGTTTTTTTCCAGCGGTATGGTTGTCTTTAGTGACTAATCCCTATAATAAAAGTAGTTTCACACTGATTTTCGTCATCATGCCTCATTCCCATTGTTTTCATAATATTTTGGCTTATAAGAGATACAGTGTTGTCGTCGACAAGTTGTCGAGTTTTTTAATCTTAAGGGTGCTTAATGTTACAAGAATATATTACAAGCAGTGTTGCCAACCTTTTCGAACGTTTTATTGGTAGATTCTTTGGAAATTTTCGGTAGATGATGATAACATTTTGGTAGATTTAAATATATGTGTAATTTTTAGTTAAAAAAACAGTAAATAAAAAATATTTATTAAAAATAAAAAAAACTAATAAAAACAATAACATATTTAACTTATGTTAACATTAGTTAACATAAGTTGAATATTTATAAAAAGAAATGTAACAAAAAAATAATAAAATTGTAAAAAATACAAACACAAAAAAATAATAATATACAAAATCAAGAGAACAAATTTATTCTTTTGATTTATGTATATTATTAATTAAACGCCGCTTACTTTTGCACAAAGTTGAATGTTCTGTACATACCAATCTACACAGCAAAAATCAAGAATAGAAATCTGTTTATTGTATCATGGAAATTTGCAATACCGTCGTAGTGCGACTTTTGTACAAATGATGTTGGTAAAATATTTTTAATCACATACTTACCAGTGAAAAATATATAATACTGTTGTCAAGTATAATATTTGTATGCAATTTAATCTAAAAAAAGTCATTTATTTGGATTATTTCAAGATTAAACTTAATATCTTATCAATTACTCGAATTATTTAAAAAAAAATCAGTTTTAAATTTTAAACTTTTTGGTAGATTATTGATGTCTATCGGTAGATCGGTAAAATTTTTCAGAAATCGGTAGATCTACAAACAATTGGGTAGGGTTGGCAACACTGATTACAAGTGAAAATATTAAAAGAATTTAAAATCTTATATGCTATGAAAAACGTATGTTCTAGTTTATTTTATACTTAAAATTATTATTAAAAACGTCAAATCTGTCAAAATCATTATTTTTTATAAGTAACATAATAAAGGGTGTCCCAACAAGAGCGCGGGATTTAATTTTAAAGAAAAACACATTTATTTTTTGAATTAAGCCAACATTTTTATATCAACATAAAGACAAATAGTTCCGATTAAACGTAAAATACAAAATCAGGCAAATGGCCACCACGAAACCTCTGGCACAGGGTTATTCTTTTGTTGAAATTTTGAAAAACGTTTTCGCATAAATGCGGCTGTATTTCACCAATAACGCGCCGTATATACAGTGAGCGCGTTAAAATCCCCCCCCCTGTTAACTTTTGAACCAAATAAGATATCGATGTCGGTTAAAAACCAGGGTAAACTGTATTGTGTTTACTGCTTTTTGAAGTCAAAATGAAATTTTTTGCTTAAAATTTCAAATGGGAAGGCCTGGAGACTTGATCTGCAGAAACTCCATTGTTTCACGTGCTGTGTGGCAGGTCCCACCGTCTTGTTGAAAAATTATGTCCTCCAAATCAATTACATCCAATTCGGGCCACAAAAACTCCGTTAACCATGTTAATTCTTGACCACGATGCCGATCCATCGGAGTAAATGTGGTCTCAAATTTTGTAATTAAACGCCTCACTGTCGATTCATTTGGCGCATAATTGCGACCGAAAACTTGACGAGCTGTTTTTGCAAAACTTTTGTAATGAGTTTTTACAGGGTTGCCACTTATCTGGAAAACCTGGAAATGTCATGGAATTTAAATTTTTTAGAAATGTCAGGGAAATGTCAAAATCTACAAAGTCAGGGAATTACTAAGTTGGTCAGGGAATTGGTTATTTATAAATAAAACTGGTCAACAAAAATAAAAAAAATTATGTTAACTAGTGTAATTTAAATTTAATTTATTCAAAATATGGCAGCGCCATATATCAAACTTATCCCTATAACCTTAGAAGTCTATATCACGACTTCTCACTATAGAGCCATTCCACGCGTAACGGATAGGACAGTTGCCGTGTTTTTATTTACAAAATAATATTGTTCTATTATATTACCAATGTCAAATTTTTATAAATAGTTCTAAACTAAAGCTGTTTAACAAGGTTTTTATTTGGCAAAATTAGGTATCGTGGTTGACTGTTTAATTCCTTAAAAAACTAATAATTTAAAGCGTAACGGACGAAACTTTGTAATAGTCCCGTCCGTTACGCTTTAAATTATTATTTTTTAAGGAATTAAACAGTCAATCACGATACCTAATTTTGCCAAATAAAAACCTTGTTAAACAGCTTTTGTTTAGAACTATATATAAAAATTTGACATTGGTAATATAATAGAACAATAATATTTTGTAAATAAAAATACGGCAACTGTCCTATACGTTAAGCGTGGAATGGCCCTATAACCTTCTAAGACTATAACCAACTATTTTTATGTTTAGGGTGATTATTATTTGTTTATTTTGTAAATGGTAAGCATAATTATTATGCTTATTATTATTAATTATTAATAAACTAATTAATTAATCAGTAAAAGCATAATTAATAAATTAATTAATTAATCAGTAAAAGAATTTGAAAAATTATAGTTCCTGTTGATAAAAAACCGTTTCAAGCCAAATGTTTGATTTGCAAGCAGTCATAGGCCACATAAAAAGTGCGGGCCATTAAAAAAGGATTTCGGCAACGAAAAACACAAATTTGTCAAATTTTCTTAAAAAAAAAAGAACCAGGTGGAAAATACTACTCTCTAAAAATAAATTAGTTAAAAATGACTAATTGTCATAGCGAAAAAGCAGCCATTAATAATTCTAGTCAACAGCAATTTGTATCCCGGATATTTAGCAGTCAATACCTATGTAAAATTGTCTGCTGAATCCGAATATGTCATCAAAAGTTATAAAAGTAGGACAATTTTTAAGATTTATTCAATTTTCCATATAATATGGAATTGACTATATCTCAAAAACTGCTATGACGGTATTTTCGGATTCAAGGGACAATTTTACATGAGAATTGGCTGTTAAATGTCCTGGACAAATTGCTGTAGACTACAGTTATTAGTGACTGCAGTGAATTACTCAAAAATGACATATTTCAAAGTGACGGTATTTTCGGATTCAGGGAACAATTTTACATGAGAATTGGCTGTTAAATGTCCTGGACAAATTGCTGTAGACTACAGTTATTAGTGACTGCAGTGAATTAGTCAAAAATGACATATTTCAAAGTGAAAAACCATGCTTTTTCACTATAAAATATGTCATTTTTGACTAATTCTTTTTTAGAGAGTATGCTTAAAAAAGTTACAGTTTTACATGATAATAATATTGCTTTAGAAAATAACCAGAATAAATCAATTTCTTCAATAAAAACTCCTGCAAAAATGATAGAAGAAATAAAATATTTTTTTTGTACTTACTATCAAATATTTACTGATAAGACACCAACAATGATAAGGTTTTTTACATATAATGATAAGCTTTACTTACTTTTGCTGACAAAGGGATGGGGGGGTTAAAAATTACAAAATGACTGCTTACCTAATACTTGAATGGCCCCATACTTAAAATTTTAAAAACCAACACTCAAAGTCCAGTTGAAAAAATCATTGAGGGTCAGGAAACCAAAAAAAAACATTTTGTCTGGAAAAAAATCAGGGTCAGGGAATTCCTAGAAAAGGGAATTTGGTTTAGACAAATCGGTGGCAACCCTGTTTATCAATAATTAAACATTGTTCGTTTGAATATTTCTCCATGTTCTTAAATCGCGTGGTCTGTACGTGACAACTGTCGAAAAAAAATCAGCGTACAACTCGTATTAATAAAATGGCGGCAAATTTAAATCGTGCGCTCTTGTTGGGACACCCTTTAGTATATGTATTATTATACGAAAGATAATGTGCATAATCTCGAGTGTAATACCATACTCTATCTACCCCAATAAGTAGATAATTAAATGATTTTCAAAAATAATTAAATAAAATCTGACATCTTCCAATTTTAAATGTTCGCCTTTTTCCAAATTAAAACACGATTGATTCAAATCACAGTGAATATTGAAATTGGGCCAATCACTGATGCCTAACAACGTGAATAATGACTTTATTATTCACGTTGTTAGGCAGGGAATTTATAATGTTTATCATTATTCTAAAAAAATTATGCAATAGGAGTAGATAAAGGTTTTTTTTCCGTAATTTACAACGTCAAAACTGGGGGTTTATTTGGCAAATTCTACAGACCTTAAATTTATAATTGGCCACATTGAGTGGAGAATATAATTGTGGTTACTACTACTCGTATATATTTTGTTAAAATTATATAAGATATTGTTATGGGATTAATTTAAATAATAACTTACAACTTAACTTTTTAACGAATATCCAACATCTGTTTCTAGGTTATGTTTAATATTCTTTAAAGTATTTAAATCATGTAAAAATCTCGGTAAAATACATACTAGAGGAGATAATTTCAAATTTAATATATAATTTTAAGAACATTATACTTAAATACGCAGTGAATGGTTTATAAGAAGTACAAAGGGTTTGGATGTCGACGAAATAGGTTATGTTCGTATTTCTTATACTTATACAATCGGTTAATAATAATAATAATTTACAATTCCCTCTCTCTTACTTATTGTTATTCACTTGCTCAATAATAAATGACTAAAAAAACACTTGTCAAGAAAATGTATAGTATACTTTTATGCTAATAACTTCTCCTATCACGTGGTATGGCGTGATAAGTAATAATAAAAATTAACAATAATAGGAACATATTTTTTTAATACTATTGTGATTAATTTTAATATTTTAGTAATCCTAATACTATTTTTGTATGATATTTATGATTTTTTATTTATTTTACAGAACAAGATAAAGAAAATGATGTAAGAAACGCTCAAGCTACGCTAGCGACCCAAGCGGCAATCCAGAGAAGGAGGAGGCCTAAAAGAAGGTCCACTGGAGTGGTTAATTTTGACAATGTTGACGTGAGTATAATTATTTATTTATTTATAGACAATCTGCTTGATGTTTTTGCACAAAATATTTAGTAAAATTACCTTATATCCGATTATATAAAGTGAATTATAAATAAAAGATTTACGTCAAATTTTAAATTTAAAAGAAATTCTTATACAAAGATAAACGTTTTTTGTGTATTTTTTTATCCTTAATAAAAAACTTTGTACCAAAAATGTAAATTCAATCAACACATGTGTTTTGTCTTCCTGTAATATGTGTAATAAAAATAAAAGTTATATTTTATGATAGCAAATATAATCAATTAAAGTATAAAAAAATTTAAATTAAATACAAATACCATATAACTAAAATGTTACCCTTGCTTTGCTAGAACTGGCTTATAAATAATATTACCCTCCCCTGGTATTTCTATTAAATAAACATTGCAGGATCCAGACCAAGACAAAGAGTCTTCTGGAGCTGGTGACCTTGATGAAACCAAACATAATCATCAAGAGGTAAGTCTATTCTTACTAAATTTGACCATTTTGCCCAAAAATGTTTCTTTAAGCTTTTTGAAAAATATATTTAACAATTTTTGTTTTAAATGGTTTGAAATAAATAAATAAAAATTAAAAGTCGGATCTAATCGGGATTATAAAATTATTATTATGGTAATTGATTTTGAATTATTTTTGTTTAATATTAGAATTTCCCATTGAGAATGCCAAATCAATTTTTATGGTTTAGTTAACAAGTTTAATTTAAAATTGCACTAACCTGCCTTTACAATCACATGTCTACACTTAACTAAATAAACGTTTATTTTGGAAATGTGCGCAGTAGGTATTATGTTTTTTAATATAATTAATGTGTGGGTTTTGATATTTCATCGTATCTCATATCTTTCCATATTTTTAAAAACGCGTTGGTAGTTAATATTTATTTTCACGAAAATATTCATGTATGCAAGTCCAATTAAAATAAATTAGAGATCTTCTTAATTTAGCTAAATGTGAGTCACAAAGAGCTGCCTTTTGCAAAACAAACAAACAATGAGAACAATGCTTTAAGGTAGAGTTGGACAATTGCCTAAGTTTACTGAGAATTAATGTCTGCTGTATTACTTATACTTTTTCGGTTATTGATGGTCGGTCATGTTTATAATTAGTTGTGATATGTTTTGCAAACACTTTTGTAATTAGTTTATTTAATTTTGGAAGATTTACTTGTGTTACGCCTAATTGTCCAGCCATTTTAAAAGCTTACAGACTCAAACCTATACTTTTATTACTAATTTGAGTAGGGAAACAAAAATTAATTTCACAAAAGCACATGGAGAATGTGCTTAATTTTTTCGATTACGTAATAATATTTGTTAAAATAATACTATTAATAATAATTATGTCATATTTATTTAAATCTGACGTTTAATTCTAATTATTTAAACCTGACGTTTTGACGCTAATTTTTTAGCGTCAAAACAGTTACGTCAAAATATATAATCTAAAACGATTTTAGCTTTTTTGCTTTCACGATGTTGATATGCTATAAGTTATACAATTATAAATTCAGGTTAATTTTTTGTTTTAAATAATTCAATACAATTGGTATAAAATAAATAGAATATTAAAACTTTATTATGGTAATAAACAAAGTACAAAGAAAATGGTACTATTACTATAAATTTTATTTTAATGTTTTTTCATGGATAACTTGACAAAATAAATTTTTGTAGTTATTATTGTGCATTTTTTAAATTAAAATTGTTTAATAAAATTTAGTATAGGGTCGTTTTAAGGGGTGGTGAATCCAGTGCCGTGCTTAGATTTTGTTTAAAAAAATCGCTAATAAAAATTCTTAAAAATTTACTCTTAAAAACTGACATAGTAGGCCTTGTATTTTGTAAAAATACGGCGTTTTTTGGTTTCTCCAAAATACAGATCAAGATCTACACTTTAAAACAAATCCGGTTAAAATCGCACAATAAATAAAGATTTTACAGGGGTGAGTCGCAAACAAACGGGTTAGAAAGAGTACAGTAAAAGTAAAAAAAATGTTTTATTGACACTCCACAGTGGAGTCTACCCAAAATGAAGTTAATGTAGTTTAGTCGGCGAAATTAAAAGGTCAGTAAAATGTTCACATAAACTTTTCAAATATTGGCACTGAGAAACTATTTTATACTTTTGTATTTTTTAGTTGAAAAAATAAAATAATTTTTACATTTAATATTATTTTACAAGAAGGGCACTTTATTTTAACGACTTTATGACATTTGAGAACTGTCAACTAACTTAAAACTTCAGCCCGTAACTAAAAATCTGTTGCTAACTTCAGCCCGTGACTAAAAGGCTATAAAGCCACAACTTGTCAGTGTGTTTTTAAAAGGTCACTTGGTGTCATGTAGTACATTTTCGAGCGTTAAAAGATCACGTAACTGTTTAAATGCTAAAAAACTAGCTTCCAGCGTCAACATGAAAGGGGATATAACCCAAAACAGGGAGTAATGAAAATATCAATGGGAAGGAATAAGTAAATCTACAGGAAGGAATGTATGTCATTAATTACACTATGATGGTTTTAGAAACTTTTTTTTTCTAACATTGAGTACTCCAGCTTAGTTTAACTAATTTTGGGCCGCTGATTTTAAAAATGTCATTCGGTTTTCTCTAGGACATCTAGGATTTAAAATAATTTCATAATAAAATGCTCTCAATCACCTCAAAATGTAAGTTTTTTTGTTAGTAATTTAATTATTTATTAAATTATTTTGGCTTAAATTTATCTTGAATGTACTGAAGGTATACAGCAAGAAGATAATATTTATCTTAACAATATGACATTTTAAATACTAAAACTATAATTTAATTTATTTTTTGTAAAAAAACAACTATTATTTGACATTTTTTCTCGTTTATTTTAATTATTGAATTGAAGGGCAACAAAGTAAACAAGTTTCAGTATTTTTATCCAAATTAAGCCCACAAAATTTAATGCATTGCATAATTTTGCTTTTTTCTACCTTAAATTTATTAAATCGTTCAAATATCGAATTGAATTATAGTATTATTGTGCTTGATCCTCATCATCGTCGTACATCTTTTGCTGCAAATTTCAGCAAATATCTCCTAGCAATGAATCCAACTTCTTTCCGCTATACCCATAGATATCTACCAATGCTCTAGATTTGAAGTTATTTGGTGAAATCGTTCTCCATGTTCATCAGTTCCGCAAATTTCTCAGGATAAAAAAAGACAATGTATTTTAAATGACGTATTAACGCTAATTCTTCACAAAACGGAGATCATTTTTTCAATGAATTGGCGCCAATTTTAGGCCCGATATGAACCAAGAACATTTTCAATGACAGCTTTACCACTGCCATATGCGACAAGCTCGTCAACTTTGAGAGCATTTTTGAATGCTTGATCTTTTATTAAACGTATAGGACGTCCATTTAATATTCCTGCAAAATAAAGTAGTAGGTACTTATATCTCATAAAATTTTGTAATGAAATATAACATTTTGTTTTTTCTTGGGCGTAAAGGTACCGCAACAAAAACAAAACAAATTTACAAGGACGACATAAAGGTTCGTCCCCTTTCTCTTTCTCTGCCACTTCCATTACCACTTCCATTTTCTTTTTTCATTTTTGGTTCTTAAAATCACTTTCAAGTAAAAATACAATGTAAAGTTTAAATTTTAAATGTCAAAAATTAATAGATGCGCTTTAATGTGCTTGAATGATAAAGTAGATAAATGCGCCTTTATACTTTAATTCGATATTAAATTTTGATTGACTTAATAAATAAGATTGGAGATTTAAAGTTTGGGTACTTTAGGCATAATGTGAATAAAAAAATATCAAATAATAGTCGAAGAGTAATGTTTATACCGAAACCCATTTACTTTGTTGCCTTTATAATTTAAATAGTAATTAAAAAAACGACACAAAAATTTCAAAAAATTATACTTTTTACCAGAAAAACATTATAATTTCAGTTTTGGTATTTAATAAAGCACTTCTCTGCAGAATTGCGTTGAACGACACTTTAATAGTAATCGGTTTAGCTCAAATTTTTACATTTTTTTGCCTACGTTATTGGATTTAGAAAAAAAGGTTATTTCGTCCCAGCCTTATGCAAATTTATCTACATTTTCTTCCAATTTCTTCGCAACTATATATTTTTTATATAAACAAAAAAGTTTAGTTTTGCACGCTGCGGCAACCGCTCGAGAGCACGGTGGAATAGAAGGGCAATAAAAAACTTCGTTAAAAAAACTATTAAGGATATTATTAATTAATTTTAACGCCATATATTTTGGTATTAATCCGGTACAAATTTTAATTCCATTGGCTCAGTTGAGGCGATTTTATAAGGGTTTAAAAATTACTTAATTTTTTAAACTATCTTTATACATTTTTAACACAAAAGTTTTGTTTGTTGATTCGGTAACATTTTTAATTTAATTGAATCAGTAGCAAAAATATACTGGTTAACCTACAGGTGTAGTATCAACAACACGTTATTGATTAGATTTAAATTGAATTATTTAACACCCTGGGATCTCAATTTTTTCCTAATAGTTTCCGACATAATAATTTTTCAATCAATCGCACATTTTATAACGTGACTTAATAGATTATTTTCCAAAACTAATTTTCCTTTAACGTCAAAAATCATGGGCTCATTTGAAAAATTTCTACTCATGGGTATTTCTGATTTTTCATGAAAATAAAGTGTTTGTTCATATATATCAAGATACGTTAACATGCAAACATAGTATAAAAAATTAGGTATTTAACTCAAACAAAATGTCAATAAAACTTGTATAGAAAACCTTGTATATAGTCATGAATCGCGTAAAATGACACAATTAACAAAAATGAATTAACGCCAAATTGACAATTTGCAATGTATCAATGTGTCATTTGTGATTAAGGTGGATTCAAACAAAATCTAGCGAATTTTTTTGACAGATTCTGGCATCCCTGCGACCAAGTTGGCTTCTAATAAAGTTGATACTGTAAAATTTTGAATGAAAGCATATAGTAATATTTTTGTGTGTAAAACCTGAATAGTAACCTCAAACAAATACGTATTTTAAATGCACAAATATTGTGCAAATTTTCTCAAAATGTAACGGGTGCGACATTTGAACATTTTATCGAGTATTGAAGCTTTTCCGTGTTTATTCTTAGCATCACAATGTACGAATATTTTAAGGTTATAAATTACGTCGCAATTAAACTATTTGACTTCAGATATAGTTTTCATTTTGTTAAATAACACATCTGATTTTTTGTCATGTTGGGGTAAGGTTTCGCGGAAATACCCTCAGTTATAATGATTTTTGGTTTTGACTATATTTAAATAATAACAAAGTTATTTAATATTAAATTTTTAAGTGATTTAAACACAGTCTGTGAATTTGAAATTGGGTTAAGTTGATTAATTTATTTCATGATCCAATAAATTAATGATGTAAGTAAATACTTTAAATTTGAAACTT